CTCTCCTATAGGTTTCCTATTTCTGAAACTTCCGCCACCGCCTTGCGCGGTACTACTGGTATGCATGTATATACATATACATACACATACGTATACAAACATATACAAATACATATACATATACATTTACATTTACGCATACATATACATTCATATGCATATATGTATACATATACATTTACATATACATATACATAAACATTTTCATATACATATACATTTACATATACATATACATTTACATTTACATATATATTTACATATACATATACATGTACACATACATATACATACATTTATTTTTACATTTACATATTCATATACTTTTTTCATATACATATACATTTACATATACATATACATTTGCATATACATATACATACGTGTGAATATATATACATACATTTAAATATACAAATATATATTTACATACTCGCACAAAAAGCGGATTTCTTTACATGGTCATTGCCGATGCACTGAAGGTGGATGTCCATTCCCCCGGAAAAAAACTTGGCAACCTCTCTGGCCGACCTCACCACAAATAAGGCTGTGAATTTGTATGCATAGATAGATAGATAGATAGACAGACAGATAGATAGATAGATAGGCATTATTCGATAGTATTTGATTTTAGGTTGCTTCATTCAACCCATTTGAGGTGAAAACTAGGGGAAAAAATTGATAATTTTGCCTCTTTATCTAGCCATTTTGCCCTTGTATCTTGGGGCGATGGTTCACAATACAGGAAACCACTCCTGTTTCCGGATTATTTCTGATTGAAGTATTGTGAACCATCCCTCGTCGTCAAGGTTGATTAAATCTCTGTCTATTGGCAATGTATTAATCCATAAATCAACGTTGGTCCAGTGCCGATTCCGACCCTTCATCTCCATAGGTCTCCGGCGTGCCGATGCTGGAAAAAGCTGGTGAAAAGAAGTGGGGAAAGGATCCAGAATATCAGCACTACATGAAGGCGACACTGAAGCTTCCGAAGTTTGGGTGTCATCAGCTCGGTGGGCCGGAAATCCCAGAGGTAAAGGCTTCGCAGCTTTGAAAATCATCAAATTAAGTGGTTCGAAATGGTGGGATTTTCCAGAAAGCCATGGAGCGAATTACCGAAGGGTAGTAAAAATGTTATTCGAAATGTTGCTAAATTATATGTTTATATTATATTATATTATATTGTATTATATTATATTATATTATATTTGCATTTTGCAGTGCTAAAAAAGGATTGCGGATCGAAGATTTGGACCGCTTTGGGACGTTGTTCAAAAGATCCATTGAAACTGTTCCACGAAGGGATGTTGAAAACTATATGGTATTAGTCCTACGCAGGCTTGGTCCTCTGATTTATGCGGTGGAGGTTATTTACAGATTATCCCTTATCCCATTGACCGTTTGCCTTCTATCATTTGTCGGATACAGCAATGTCATGTGACCAGCCCACCGCTTCGCAAGTGTTTCACTTTTGATGCCCAGAATCCCTTATTCTCTAGCAGACATTGGAACCATTTAGACTCTAGTTTCATGACACCAAAAGCCGCCCTGTCGCACCCCTTGGTCGATGGTTTCAATTGCCGCGCCAGAACACCTCCTGCATTATACCATGGTTTCCAGCACCTGAGGGTCCAAAGTGATCCACAAGGAGCGTCAGGGGTGCTGTCCATAGCTGGGAGTAGGTGTTGCCCTAAGATTTTTGACAAGATCCCAGGCTGACCATTGTCGCAGGGCATTTCAGTTCCAAAAACTTTGAAGAACATGGCATCAGCATACAGAAGCTGATGTATCAGCGACCTTTGTGGTCAAAAATGCTGCTGAGAAAACAAAGAAATGCGTTGGCTACTTCCTGGCGTTGCAGTCACCCCTTCATCCTGATCCTATGGCCATATTTGATTGGGTCACGAATGAGCCGAAGCTGTTGGGAACTATGGGACATAAGCCAATTGTTTCTTTGGAACACGAAAATCTGTCACAGAATGCCTTTGTGTACACGAGGGTTTCCCTGCTTGTGCAACCATCCCAGTCAGAGGTAGTCATCCCAGTAGTGCGATCGGAACCTCCTTCCCACATACGAGTGGGCGTCCTCAAACATAGTTTGCAACTTGGTTTTCAAAAACAATTCCGGTCCCAAACAAGATCGAGAAGTGCTCTTCAAAACGGGGTCCCTGATCACAATGACCAGCTACTCTAGATCTACCGTAACCCCACCGTCGGTCCTCGGTTCCGCAGCCGTTCCTTGCCAAGTTGTTTGACCAAGTCGTCCCCACGCGGCGCTTCCAGGCGACCAGGTCAAGTCGGTACCCCCAAAATAAGATCATGTGTCCTCCGCCAGGTGCAGATGAATGCAGCATTGGACCTGGGTTGCCCAGCGGATGTGGGGAAAGTCTGTGAACACCGAGATGTCATAAAGCAAAAATTGGGGACGAGCTGCAATTGAGTATGTACGTTTTTCAGGTTATAAATGGAGTAAACCCATTCTGACCCACAAATCAGAAAGCCATTGTGACTCCTTAATTGAGCGTCGTTCACTGGTTGGTGGCTTCAACGATGCACGTTTTGTCCGTCGGATGATCTCATTTGATGTCTCCCCATGTGACAAAATCATCAGCCACACCCCAAGAGCGACAACCACAATGGGTTGGATCCCCATGTTGAATCGCCACCATCGCTAGGGTTGTCGCTGGCATTCCATGTCGACTGGGCCCAACCGGGAATGCTGTCATAACGGTCGAAAAGCCTTGCGACATGTCGTTCCGATGCATTTGTGACTGAAGACGGTTTATGTTTCGGTTCCGTAGTTGATATGTTGGGTGCACCATCGTTTTGATTGTATCCGATGAATGTACCTGGTCTACTATCTACCAAGCCCATGCTTGCTGCTCGCATCCCGTGATCGTTTCTAACAGGCCCCATTTTTCCAGGTGTATGCCCATCATTGTTGGCTATATCTATATAATCTTCGTTGGGTTGGGCATCTTTTCTTGCCTACTTCCCCAAAGTTGTTCCCTTTTTCCTCTTCATGTTCCCACTTTCTGTCGATAAAGCAAGGTCTGAACATCGTGGTGTTCGTGGTCCTCTTAGCCGTAGTGCAAGCCTCAAGCCAGCTTTGTATCTGATCTGTATGCGTATTTATACATATTTATATTTATATATACATATGTATACATATGTATATATATATGTATATACATACATACAAACATGATGTACGCATGTATGTCATGTAATGTAATGTAATGTAGTGTAATGTAATGTAATGTAATGTGATGCAACGTAACGTAACGTAAGATAACGTAATGTACTGTAATGTATGGAATGTATGTAGTGTATATAATGTATGTAATGTTATGTTATGTTATGTACTGCAATGCAATGTAATGTAATGTAACGTTAGTAATGTAATGTAATGTAAGGTAATGTAAGGTAATGTAAGGTAATGTAATGTAATGTAATCAATCTAATGTAATGTAATTAATGTAATGTAATGTAGTGACGTGTGGTGTAATGTGATGTGATATGATGTGATGTAATGTAATATGTGTGTGTGAGCGTTTTAATGTTGGTAATGGTGTTTAATCTGCTCCAATATGTTTTATGCTTTCATTTTTTGCTGTTTGTATGTGTGTGCCTTTGTATGTTTGCATGTTTGTTGTTTGTATGTTAGTTCTAGGTGTATATGTACATACGCATTTAAAAAAAAAAAAAAGTGTTTATCTATCTATCTATCTACCTATCTATCTATCTACCTTCCTACCTACCTGCCTACCTACCTACCTCTCTACCTACCTGCCTACCTACCTAATCTATCTATCAATCTATCTATCTACCTATCTATCTAGCTAGCTATCTATCTATCTATTTATCTATCTATCCTATCCTATCCTATCCTATTATCTATATATATATATATGTTTATATATATATGTGTGTTTATATATATATGTATATCTATCTCTCTGTCTCTCTGTCTCTCTGTTTGTTTCTCTGCCTGTCTGTCTGTCTGTCTGTCTGTCTGTCTGTCTGTCTGTCTGTCTGTCTGTCTGTCTCTCTGTCTGTCGGTCTGTCTATCTATCTATCTCCCTACCAACCTATCTATCTATCTATCTATCGATCTATCTATCTATCCATCTATCTATCTCTCTCTCTCTCTCTATCTCTGTATCTCTCTATCTCTGTATCTCTCTGTATCTCTGTATCTCTCTGTGTCTCTGTATCTCTCTGTGTCTCTGTATGTTTCTGTGTCTCTGTATGTCTCTGCCTCTCTGTATGTCTCTGTGTCTCTGTATGTCTCTGCCTCTCTGTATGTCTCTGTGTCTCCGTATGTCTCTGTCTCTGAATCTCTGCCTCTCTGCCTCTCTGTCTCTCTGTCTGTCTGTCCATCTGCCTATCTCTATCTATCCCTATCTATCTCTATCTATCGATCGATCGATATTCATATATCCTTTGAAAGAGATAGGCAGTTGCATATGCATAGACATGTAGTATACACATACCAGTGGACGTTTTTGAAGGGAATGGCCTTGCTAGCCCCAGGCTGTTTTTCTCTTTACGTCGCAGAGTGGCTGGCCCAGATGGGTTCTTTTCATGGGTTCGACGGTGTGACAGGTAAGTGGAATCTCAAGAAATGCAGATTTGTCTCAGAGTGGAGGATATCTCAAGGTTTTTCCAAATAAGTTGAGAAAAAAGGCAAGTTTTGAACCATTAATGAATGGAAAGAGGGTCCACTTTTAAGACAACCCCATCGGAGACACCAGCAGAACTATCAAGACATCTTGGGGTATAAATACTACAACCAACGAAAATGGTGATAGGATGGCATGTATTTAGGCTGCGATTGATCACGAATGATATTATTTTCCATAGGCGATAATTATCAAGCTGTTGGGACTTACCATTTTTCAGCAGCGACGAGCAGAAGAGACTCAAAGGCACTTCCACAAGCTGTTCATAAGAGATCTATACCCTGTTGGCTCCCCGTTTCAAGGAGATGTTGACAAAAAGTGCCCTGGTTTCGACCAGGTAAGGAAGCGAATCAGCGCAAACATCGAGACCCTTTGAGGCAACTCCGGGTGCCGAAGAGTTTAAAACCTCGAAAATATGAGGTAACTACCAGGTTACCATTTCTCCAATCAATATCATGGAAATATGATGGAAACATTGTTCGGCATCTTTTTCAGAATTACTATCATAGTACAACTTAGCACAAGAACTTTCAGCGATAGCGAACGCTGACACATGCTGACACATGTTGATCTTCATGCCTGTGACTATTTTGACACCCAGCAGCTGGAAAAAGTCGACCCTCGGGAAACAAACAGATTAGGTTGATTTGTAGATGTTCCCAACAAAAGTTCTGTTGAGTTCGTGTATTTTCCCATATGTTTCCGATTTTCCGAACAAAACCTTCATTTAAAAAACAAGGATGTCCCAGCCATGCGAAACGCCAAGGCGAGAGTCCAAAGTGACTCCTGAGGCCGCACCTTGTTCCGTGTGTCCCAAAGGGGGATGCGAAACATATCATCCAAAGTGGTTAATGATGGTTCTTAAAGGTTGTTTATGGTTCACATGAATGGTTGTTAATGGTGAATATGATTGAATAATGTTGACTAGTGGTTTGTATTGGTTATTTCTTCAAAATCTGGGAGATGCACTGAAGTTCGGTAGTATGTGGTAGTTTGAAACATTGTATCATATAGTAGGCAAAATAATACGTGACCAGCATAAAGATCCGTTGACTGGATTTGCTGAATGTTTTTCTGATTCCTGCAAATATGTGCTACTAAATGAAAGGTTTTAATACTTTAAGACATGCCCAATTTGGTGATTTTCAGCGACGCAAGTTTGCCTCAAAATCTCCGCTCATGGGATGCTTGAGAGGGGAAAAGTGGATTGGTGATCCAAGTGGGAAAGGATGATCTCCACCAAACCTGCACAGCTGGGTTCGGATACCCATGTTGTTCCATAATGAACCCAAGATAAAAGCATGTCTTGACATGCAAATAGATGTGTAACATATAAGAACGTGCAATGTCTACATACATACATATCTATGTCTACATATACATATATATATATATACACATACGCATATTTTGGATCCATGATTTCCAGTGAATATCCCCATGGTAATATCGGGTTGATGCACTAGTGAGGATATCTACTAGAGAATTGGCCGCTCATCCCAGTTCGTAAGTGGGTTAGTTCACCCCATTTATGCATGGACTATCCCCACGTACCCTGCTTACTGGGGTGAACTAACCCACTTACTAAGTGGGATGAGCCACCAAGAAGTGTTTTTTTACGTGCATATGTTTTTTTTAAAAAAATGAAAACCAGGAATTCCCAGGATTTCAAGTCTCAACACCTCAGGCGCAGCAATTCAGCGCCCCTCTTGAAGAAAAGGTCTCGCGCACGCACCTGGGACGTCGTGGCATCTGGTTGGTGGCCATGATGTTGAAAAAGATGTAGTCGTTGGGCTCTATATATATATATATACATATACATACATATACATACACATGGACGTGTGTATATTTACATACATATACATATATATATACATATATGTATATACATATGTACATGTGTATCCATGTGGTCCGTGTGTACATACTGTTATTTATTTTCTATGCTTTTATAAATACATATACATGCATTGTACATGTATGCTTTTGTATATATATATATATGTGTGTGTGAATATATACATATATATATATACATATATATATATATATACATATATATATATATTCACATGTATGTCAGCATTTGTATATATATATATACATGTTTGTATATTGCGGTTTTTGTGCATGTATATACAAATACGGTTTCATACATTACATGGCTGTGAAGTATTTGTATATATATATATATTGTGGTTAGATGTATAGTTGTATGTATCCTTCATATGGTCATGTTTAGTTGCGCTTTTGTTTGCGTGCAAAACTCAATCGATCAAAGTTCTTCACATGGCTGGGGTAAGTCCTTTGACCAGGGACAGTTTTTGAAAGATTAAAAAGGCAAGTTTAACCTACATACAAGCAACAAATATGTGGGAATCTAAACCCATAAAATGATTGGTGCCCTACTTCGGAGATCTCCTGTGAAGAATATATGTGAGATAGGTGACTCGATCAAGATGTCTGTTCCTGGTATGGCAGATGGATACATCCCCAGTTCTGGAGGGTAGTCTCCAGTAGCTTCACAAAAGTGTAACGGAAATTGCTAGCGTTATAGATGATTGCCCTGTTTAGAAAAAAAACGGCCATTTTCCCTCACAAACTGTTCAATTACCAGAAAGTATATCGCCCATATTCAATTATCTTCATTATTTCATCAGACCATCATTGTCCCATCATGGTTAAAGACCATAATTAGCATCATTATACCATCATTACTCCATTATATCTTCATTATACCATCATTTATCACCGTTAAACCCCATTAAACTACCATAATTTTGGATGGTTAAATTACCAGAGGCTACAACGAAACCAGCACCGGAACAGTCCCAGGCAACGCTTCGTGGGAAGAGTGCAGCGCTACTCTGAACGGAACGGTGCCAGCGCGTCAAAGCCAGAAGTTGACCACCGGGACAACAAAAGATGGCTGCATCACATAATCATACATACATACATACATACATACATACATACATACCTACATACATACATACATACATCCATACATACATACATATACATACATATCCATATACATTTACATTTACATTTACATACATACATACGTACGTACGTACGTACATACATACATACACACACATACATACATACATACACATACACATACACATGCACATGCACATGCACATGCACATGCACATGCACATGCACATGCACATGCACATGCACATGCACATGCACATGCACATGCACATGCACATACACATACACATACACATACACATATACATACATACATACATACATACATACATACATACATACATACCTACATACATACATACATACATACATACATACATACATACATACATACATACGTACATACGTACATACGTACATACGTACATACGTACATACGTACATACATAACATACATACATACACATGTAATTATATATACATACATATTTGTATTTATATATGTATGTAGATGTATGCAGATGTATGTAGACATATATGGGTAAGGCCCGGGACACCACTCAAGGTATTTTTTTCGGAGGTAAGTATTTGACCCAACTAGCCATGATACTCGCACCACTCAGTAAGGTGAATGCTCAGGTGAAACATGGGCCTGGGTTCAATTTACCCTCCAGGAAACTAACATAGCGATTGAACTTGCCATGTTTAGTAGGTAAATCATCAAACTAAACAGCCCAGTTTCCGCAAACTGTTGGTTTACTGGGTCTTAACCCCATGGATGACCCCAACATGATTTCATACAGACAACATCCTGCAAATGACTTGACCCAAGGTATCACGCACTGACTTTCGCATCGCCCAGGGATTGGCTTCATTGCCAACTCGCAGTGTCGAGCTCGGGACCTCAGGGGACCTCGTCCGGGCTTTCCAGGCGACTTTCTGACATCGTCCGTGCATTTCTGGCCCGCTGGGCAGATGAGACTCATGTGCAGATGCTTGTGGCATGTGTATGTACATTTACATATGTAAATATAAATATATGATGATATATGTAAGCAAATCAAGGATTACAGATCAAAAATGACTAGCCTTTTGTGGTTCCATTAATATGTTATTTTGCAGCTGTATCCATATGGCCAATATTTCAAGTCCAAAAGCAGGCAGAAACGGTGTGATATGGCCATGGCCCACGGGAAGCGGGATTTTTTTTTCAGCCATCAGGTGGCTGTGGTTGATATTTCTTAGATTCCAGAGAAATCTTCGAGAAAAATCAGCTGTATCTGTTGCTGTGATCTGTGACGATGGTCTCCTCATTTTCCCCACCTTCAACCAATCAAACCCGACCACCTTGGTGGTTCTTACTGTAGCCCATGGGTCCCGCCCAGGCGAAACATGGGAGGGATGTGCAGCTCTTTCAGGAAGATTGGGAAGCCACTTAGTGGCAGTCCAGGGACAATGAGCTCAAGTCACTGGGGGTTCCTGTTAGGTTGTAGTGCTAAGTCCACTTTTGTTAGATCGTATGTGCTTGTTTCTTTGGATCAAAGTATCTGATTTCAGAGTTCCATAATTTTCTACCAATGGTCTTCACCGAGGAATGGAAAATATTGCTATTTTTTGTCATAGAATGCCATAGATGGGATAATTAGGAGGAAGCAACAAAAATCACAAAGAGTTGTTTGTTGCACCCTCTGGTTTGTTGGGGACAAGTCATAATTGCAGTACCAACTCAAAATTGATCTGTGGTTACCAGTTTTTTTGGGTAGTCTTGTTTGCGAATGTTACCATCCCATGCCACCCCACCTCCACTCCACCGAAAGGCTCAGTAGTATTTTGCATGGGATTTGCATTATTATTGGGTACGCAAATAAATGACAAATGATGTTGTGTGGTAGGGGTTCTAAGTGGCGTTTGGGTTCTAAGGGACGTAAATCTGGAGGTTCCAAGTGGCGGTCTTCTCAAAATGATGGTGCACGAATCACTGAGCGAAATTGCGGTTTTGTGAACATGGTCGTGGGTTCAAGAAAGGATGTTCTTAAGCACACCATTGGATTGTTCGCTGGCTGCCTGAGCTCTTACCCATCTTACCCGTCCGCAAGGCTGAATTCCAGGTAACTTGGATATACCCATTGACCCTCTGGAGTAGATAAAATCTCCACAGTTTCAAACTTGAGTGACTTTCAACCTTGGGTTCAGTCCTACCCATTCCACCCATGTTTTGGTGTTTCGATCGCGACTTGGTTGGAGAACTTCTCTGAAGCTCCATCATGTTCCCCCAGTAAACCATAGTCGGGTAGGTTCATCATATGCCAATGCTTGCCATCAATGGGTGGGGAAAAGAAACATCCCCAGCCAAGCATGATCTGAAGTTTGCAGGGGCTCATCTAAAATTCACCACGTATGATCCTTGATTTATATCCCCGTATTTGATCGGTCATACAAGGTGTTCCCCTCAACTGGGGTGAACTGACCCAAGTTATGTTAATGCTATGTAATGTAAATGTCATCGACAATGTCAATGTTAACATTAATGTGAATGTTATGTATGTACATTTACATATATATATATACATGTTTACACCAAGATTTCCAAGGAATTCTAATCCCAGGAATTCTAATGTTAATGAATCATCCTATCAACACGTATCATAGTTCTTGGAATATGAAGACTATGAATGTCGTATAAATAAAAAAAGTCATCATAAGATACAGGATGGGCCCCCCCAGTTATAAGTTGATTTACAAACCCAATTAACCATAGTTATCTATAGTTATATAGCATAAACCATAGTTAAGCCACTTATAAGGCAACTTAGCTAGGGGGACCCATCCTTTACATCTAGAAAAAGACATGTCTCCCAGCACGTTCGCCGGATTTGCCAAGGCTCTACAGCTTCAAGTGGGGACAGTTGGGGGCCCTGGAGTTGCTCTATGGTTTTAATGTAAAAAAGGTGGGTTTCTCCCGGTAGAAGAGAAGATCGGGGCTTTACTGTTTACCAACAAAACTTGGGATTTGTAATGTTTGGTGGATATAATGAATGGGCGGGAGTGTCCCTTTCTTTCATGGGATTCCTTTAAGCCAATGGCTGTTTCAATACTCAAATGGTGTGACTTGGATTTGGGGGAGGATCCGACACGTTTTTGCCTCCACTTTCCTGACTTTAGAAATCGATTTGGGGTTTCCTAAAATCGGACCTTCAAATCATCCAAGGACCATTGAAAGCAGCGACTTGGGATACCATGACTTGGGAAATCCCCACAGGTCGTGTCCTTCATTCTGTCCGTGGAGGAGAGGTTCCCATGTCCCAAGGGCAGGCGGACAAGGGGAGGGGGGCGGCAAAGCCAAGAACGGTTATGACCTGAAACACCAACTCACCGGTATAGATCCATCCTTGTCCCCGTCCCATTTTTGCTGGGCCCATTGTTGACGGTTTGATCCCAATCCATGCGTCAACATATCGCTACATGTATTATCACATAGATAGAATGTTTTTTTTTTTTTAATGCATGCATGTATACAATATACATACATATATTTAATTATATTTATACATATATACATATATAATCATATATAATCATAGTACATATATATATATATTATCAAATTAGATATTGTATACTGACGGTGAAATCTCATATGTCCATGATGTCTGGTATTTAAATCAGCAGCCATCTCAAGGCCCTGGGCGGCTGATGTGCACAAGGCGTGTTTTTTTGCACAAAAAATGGTGATGGTCAGTAGAATTTCATGGAAAATTGATGATCTGTAAATGGGTTATGAATTGGGTTTTCTATACCATATGAATGGGTTCTCTATACCATAGCAAGCTGTCAAATGTCCAGAGAATATGTGAGAAAATTCATGGGAAATGATTGGAAATCGATGGGAAAGACATGTAGAAAAAGTTGGAGGGCATCAAGTTGATACGGAGCAAGGGGATCTCCCAGAATTGGAGGACTGGTTGAAACCCCAATATTTTTGGTGAGTTGGGTCGGTGGATATAGGTAAGTTTGTTCCTACCTTGATGGCGGACTGTTTCATACCCAGCCACCAGTTACTTTAAGTGAAAGTTATTTTTGTAGAGTATCACAGATTAGCCATGGTTTTCATGGGATTGCAGAAGACCTTGAATAGCTTTCAGTAATAAGCAATCACCCGAACGTAGGTGCTAAGTAGTCACGAACCCTGGAATAGTCATTCAAGCGAAGAGATGATGATGGTGATTTTCCAACAATCCAGAATGTTCTCAGGAATTCAGGGGAGCAACATCCAGTAGATTCCTGTTGGTGTCTTTTTTGTGGCACATGATCATGAGGAGTCCCTAGGAACTTCTTCCAAACAATTAGTTTGCTGGAAGTTCCGCTCCAAAAATGGCCTACACATGAGAATCTTCATTGCTTAGACGTCATGAGCTCCTGTAGATTATTGTCGTGTTAAAAATGTATCTTTTTCATTGCGTCAGATGACCATCAGCTATGTCACCATGTTGTTTTCCTACGTCTTAACTTCTCTTTTATTCCCATTGATTGTATGGGGGGTTCCATAAATGGGGGTACCCCAAAATAGTTGGTTTATCATGGAGAATCCATCTATAAATGGATGATAACTGCGGTACCCCCATGGCTTGGAAACCTCCATAGAGTTCTGCTGGTTGTTCTCCCGTTGCACAAGCCGTTGCCGGACAGGTCAACGACCGCCTGCTTCCAGGCGCAACAGGTGAATGAAAAGAGACGCGTAGCCACGACGCGATGATCCCGGATGATCCCGTTGACGGTTCAGATCGTCAAGATGGTTGGATAGGAAATTGACCTTATTAACCCATATCATCCATATCTAGGTGAACCAACTGGATAGGTAGAAACTATAATCCGTTCGTTTTTCTGCGAATGGAAAATGAACCAGCCAACCAGCAAAAGATTAGATGTTTTTGTGGACTAAGGATTGACGTTTATGTTTTTTGATAGGCATCAATCATCATCTATACATTAGAGTTTTTTGTATCCATGATGGATAGGGATTCTGTCAAGGGATGGATGGGTGTTGAATCAACAAAAATTCAGATATTCACTGGAAAAGCATAGGAGTTTTTGGCGCAAAGTGAGGTGGCATTTCGCAACAGCTGATGATCAATGGAAAATTCAGGATCCTAAAATGGAGGTACGTTAGTACCATATAAGACCATATTTTGTGGGGATATTCCCTTACGTAGGCCTTATATAAGCCTTATATATGGCAGGTACCTCCAATTTGGGTTCCTGAAATGGCCATTAAGATGACCCAACTGGAAGTTGGGTCCTGGGGTTACCCATCGGAGACGGCAGATTGGATATCAATGTTGCCGCCTGATCTCTGCAGTTGAAGATTACGCATTCATAGTCAAAAACCATCTTCATTAGACCCCAGCTTGGCCCCCTCAATCTGTGCAATGAAACTGTCATTGGAGGAGTGAAATTTTCCTGTCATTGGACGATTTAAACTCGCCTGTCATTGGAGGATTGAAATTCGCCTGTCATTGGTGGATTGAAATTCGCCTGTCATTGGAGGATTGAAATTCGTCTGTCATTGGTGGATTGAAATTCGCCTGTCATTGGACGATTGAAATCCGCCTGTCATTGGAGGATTGAAATTCGCCTGTCATTGGTGGATTGAAATTCGCCTGTCATTGGAGGATTGAAATCCGTCTGTCATTGGTGGATTTAAATTCGCTTGTCATTGGACGATTTAAACTCGCCTGTCATTGGAGGATTGAAATTCGCCTGTCATTGGGGGATTGAAATTCGCCTGTCATTGGAGGATTGAAATTCGCCTGTCATTGGTGGATTGAAATTCGCCTGTCATTGGAGGATTGAAATTCGTCTGTCATTGGTGGATTGAAATTCGCCTGTCATTGGAGGATTGAAATTCGTCTGTCATTGGTGGATTGAAATTCGCCTGTCATTGGAGGATTGAAATGTGTCTGTCATTGAAGGATTTAAACTCGCCTGTCACTGGGGGATTGAAATTCGCCTGTCATTGGGGGATTTATTCTCGCCCTGTCATTGGAGGATTGAAATTCGCCTGTCATTGGTGGATTGAAATTCGCCTGTCATTGGTGGATTGAAATTCGCCTGTCGTTGGAGGATTGAAATTCGTCTGTCATTGGAGGATTTAAACTCGCCTGTCACTGGGGGATTGAAATTCGCCTGTCATTGGGGGATTTAAACTCGCCTGTTAGTTGTGGATTGAAATTCGCCCTGTTATTGGAGGATTGAAATTTGCCTGTCAGTGGAAGATTGAAATTTGCCTGTCATTGGAGGGTTGTAATTCGCTTGTCATTGAGGGATTTAAATTCGCTTGTCATTGAGGGATTTAATTTCGCCTGTCACTGGGGGATATATATTCGCCTGTCATTGGGGGATTTAAACTCGCCTGTCATTGGAGGATTGAAATTCGCCTGTCATTGGAGGATTGAAATTCGCCTGTCATTGGAGGATTGAAATCTGCCTGTCATTGGGGAAAAAAACGGGATATATGTTTTGTTTCTATTGTTTAAACATGGGTACTCACATGGCAAGATGGTACCAAATCCGCAGACCGAGCATCGCCAGTTTCGAAGGCTCACAGACATCCCTCAGGAAATGAGGATGACTCGGGCACACGAAAAACAATCCGGTGGTGGAATTATGCCTTGTGATGAAAACATGGGATGTATGCATCGCTAGGTTTGATTGCCAGAGGAATGTAGAGAGAGTGATGGAATTGGCCACTTTGTCCACACACACAACAGTGGCGGAAATGAAAGGTTGTCCGGGACCCTTGACAAATCTGCGTATGACTATCAACGTTGTTGCTTCCGGAAGCATTGAACCAAAGCCTTCAGACGGGTTTGCCATTTTCCGTAACCAGTTTCTCATGAAAATTACATTGGTAAGTCACGATCGATTGCCAGACGTTAGCTCAGAGCATGGGCAAATCATTCCGAACCATGGTTCGCGCTTCGTCCATGGGCAAAAGCAGTGTCAAGAAGATGCGCAAGGCACCATGGTCTTTGGTGGGATTTCCTGGGCTACCGATATGGCCTAAATGGGATTGCATCATATTGCCTAAGTGAAGCAGAAATATGGTTGTATACCACTTCAGTGACTTCAGTGGAGTTAGAAATGTTGTTATACATAGCCACTGGGTTGTCTTCCATGATGGCCAGTCATCGGATCTTCCAAGATGAAGCAATGGGGGTTCGGGGATGGATCCAAATCTTCAAAAGGATTGCTGCAAGTTTGCGTGTGTTCTAGTCCACGAATTCCCCGAATTCCACGATTCAATTGTTTGGTTGTTTGCCCACATTTGCTTTGAGACCCGACCAGTCAGCGCAGGAAAGTTCCCCCCCGCTCCTGCGCCCTCCATTTTGTGAAAAGCGGTGCAGTGCCGATTTTTTTGATGTTATATGAATTGATTTGTTTCTGCCCAAAAAATGGAATGGATGGAATGGATGGAATGGATGGAATTGTGTAATTAATTAATGTTCAAGATCACCGAATTTGTGCCATGCCACAAATAAAAAGGTAAAGATATCCAGTAAGAACACGAGATGAGCATGAAAATTTCACGCTGTTGAGATATCTGATAATAACCCAGATGCAGTCTCACGATTGAATCCCTGAGTTTCAAAATAATGTGATATTGCTGATATGTATCAATTTGTTCTATTTACAAGTGTCTGCCAAATTTCAAATATATATATATATGTATGTATATATAACTAAGGATGAAATTCTCCGAAAATCATAGACTCAAAGGAAAAAATTACAGGAAATCCATATTTTCAAGGTAGTTAAACATCACTGTTTCCTGTATGTGTCGTGTAGTGTCAGGCGCGCAGACAATGTAAGCGGCACGTGGCGCCCAGAGCAAGGTTGGGAACTAGGTGCGCAGCTGCGTCAGCTGCACAGGTCGTTTTTTCCAACGAAATATGGAGGCTGCTCAAAATCGACGTACAACAAAACTGTGGTTTTCAATACTAACATGGTCATCCATGGCTTGGATGGTGGGAGTACCCCCATGACAAAAGGAGACCTCCATGACTGGACGACCAGGGACTACCTGCTGCGATCTGCACATCTTGGGGAGCTCAGGCCATGACGCCAGTGGTGACAACATCACCAGAAATGGTGAGGGGAATCACATGGAATCACCCCCTGTGGGTTTGATGATCTCTGATTTGCTGAAGATGATGTGCTTTCCCATTTGGAAATCCACCATTTGGGAATCCAGAGATAGTATGTCTTATTTGTTTGGGCCATCTTAAACAAATCCCAGTTTTTATAGATGCATGATGCATATATATATATATATATACGTATATATATACGTATATACGTGTATATATATATATGTGTGTACATACAATTTGCCCATATAGATATGTGTTATGATATATCATCAAATTATTTTTCAGTTTTGAAATATTCGAAAAAATCCTCCATTGATTGCCTACCAATGGCTTGTCAGAGCTCAAAATTACCCTGAAGAATGGATGGTTCAATACCAATACCAAAAAGTTTGTCGGTTTCGAATCCAATAGTACCACATTTTTGCTTAAATGACCATGTGTTGATTTTCAGGCACCATGTGTTGATTTTCAGGTGGGAACCACCAACCAGCTTCACTTATTTGAGTGATGTTATTCAATTTTCCACCAGCAGGCAAATCCGCAATTCAATGGTTTTTGTCTCAGGGTTCCATCACGTTTTAAAATGAACTAAGTGTGTCCAGACCAACTGTGCCTGAGAAGGACAGTATGGGACTATCCCCCACCCAGGGGCTTGTTTAGGGCGTGTTTAGCCAACTCGTAAAACATCCCCAACGCTTAAGTGTTGTCATCTTCATCAGCAGATTCAGCTGAATAGGAACTTGTCTTAGGCATCTACAAAAAAAGGCGTGATAATCAGATAATCTGCTGAGATTTGATGGGTGAACATCCGCCATATCCTCATTCGCCAGGTGAGGGTCTCTAGATTTTTCACAAGCTGCAACCTCTTCTGACCTGAACTCTATATCGCGGGCTCCAGATGTGGGCCACGCCCAAACAGAGAATGTCAGAATTGAATACATGCCAGATATCGAGTGTCACTTGGGGATTGGAAAGTAATTTGTTCCCCACAGGTGATATCCCCATCGCCCCGATTCGCCATGCGCCAGGGATTCCTCGGAGCTGTCACAAAGATTGACCTCCAAGGGCCATCTGCGCGCGGCAAGCCGCTTGCGGGCGAGACTCTGGGCGGACGGCTATCTCTTTGTGAGGCGGAAAAGTGGGAAGATCGTAGGGGGATCAGAAACATCTGAAAATGATGACAAAATGATCACAACAATCATCAAGCCACTATCATTACGAATGATAACGATAGTCAGAACACTGATAGTACTTAGATCATGATGATAAATGGTGAAAATAATAGCGCTATCAATGATAAGAATAGCATTGATTTGTTATTTTTACTGATTCTCAAGGATCATCGTCAGCGCCGGTCATCTGCGGCTTGGGATACCAAGGTGCTAGCGCCCCTAGGGATGATCTCACAGAACTTGCCATTGGCTATAGCCATTGGCTATACCCCATTTTGTGGCTATGGCCATAGTATAGCTGGCCATTGGCTGTGGCCATTTCTTCGTTGCTCACATCTCCACACTCCAGGGGGTTGCTGCCAGCTGATTCGGTGCGCGCAGCACAGCTCTCTCTCCTCAGTCAAATGCTCCTTGAAGAAACCTTGAGACCCGGGGTCCACCAAAGATCGACGCAAAGTCTAGCAACTAGGTAGCCTTCCTGGCGACCTCACAACAAGTCGTGTTTTGCAGCTTTGCAGGGGGAAATCATTGGGAAATCATTCTAGTGTTGATCAAATGTACAGTACTGCATCATCTTGTCATGGACTGATCCCCTATGACACATCCCTTAGCTAAACAGGGTCACTACCGGATTTACCTCAGGGGTAGGTTAAGTTTTGGGGCGGTGTATGTAAAAGTCAAAAATCACTTTTTGAAGAGTACAGTAAACATGATGGATCCACTTGCAGAGAGAAGCAAGGCTATATCCAGGGATGTTTGTTCCATGGAGTTGAAATTGACGGTTTCTGGGGGTTCAATCCTGGCAATTTGAAATGCGCATTGCTGTTCTGTGATTGCTAACCATCACAGTCACAATTCACATGGGGTTGGTTGCTTCTCAATTCCTCCATTGGTGAAATCCTTTTTCACCATCCAAAGTGGGTGGATGCAACGGTTCCCATCCAAGGCGAATCCTCGGCCTCAGCGATGGCCAGGGCAAGGCGCAGTGTTCGGGATCAACTAGCTTGGCAAAACATGGTGATTTAATGGACATAATCATCAAACATCCTGAAACTATGGGACATTTTAATTGATATTTTGATATATGCGACAAAAAGATGATTATTCAACTGGTCCGATTCATCCGATTGCTACTTCGCCAAGTTCGAGGCTGACTTGTTGTTGTTGATATATCGTGGAAAATGAAAATGGCCAATGGTTCTGTCGGAGAACTAAGATTGGCCAAGTGGCGATGAGGGCCGCCTTTGGTGATGCTAGATGACCCCAATGGAACCTCAACCGAAAATCAGTAGAGTACTCAGTACTTGGATCATTCCAACTGGTGCTAAGTGACTGTCCCAGCCCATTGATTTAAGACATTTATGTTGGAGGAATCCCAACTCTTTCACGATAGAAAAACATGGAGATGCAGTTGGCGATGCTCTTGGACATGTCATGACCACCTCAAAACATCTCAAAACCTAACCGCAAGGCCCTCGAAACCATGATGAGCTGCTCATTCAACTCAACAGGTGATTTTCTGTGCAAGTTTTGCATTTTCCCTGGTGCTTGGTCAGGATATCCCTCCACTGAGCCGCCAGGCCTGCAGTAGCCAAGAGCAACATGCACCCAACCTTTGTTCTCCGGAGGTTCTTGCTGTGCTGAATCATCCAGAAACTCGCCAAAAAAAGGAATTGATATCAGATAGCTTGGATATGTTGGATTCCTGTTGGATTGTTGTTGTTGTTAGCACGGCATTGATTGTATGGTTGTAAGTTTTGATACGATCTCTTTTTGAAGGAAATTTCGTTGGGAATCTTGATGGTTTGTACCATCCCTGGTAAGTCATGTGTGACAACTATCTAATCCCCAGAGTTTAATTGGTTTGTATCCATGATGGCTGCTCCCTTACATTGAAAACTCCAGTCCCCAGCAGTTCGAACCAAGGATTATAGCTGATAGGAAGTCAACTGGTTGAAATTACAACTCGACTGTTTGTGATTATACAAGATTGTATTTGTATAGGTTGATAACGAATTTTTTGTGGACTGAGGATCCTAAACCTACAATGAATCAACTATGATCGATGATGATTGTTTCTGTTTGAACTACCCATTTGCATGCCCCCTTGAAAAATGGCCCCCAGCTACCATCGGTTGCTTTGCTTCTCCATGGAAACTTATCAGACTTATCATACCCCTTTTGTTGGGCTTACCGTATACCACATTGAGCCATCCACGTGGCGATTAAAATCCCTTGGAATTTGCAGGGGATATTTGTTGAGCTGAATGGCGAACTAGCCAGCATGAGTTTGTGAGTTAGTTCACCCAAGGAATCGTTCAATAGGCGATCTGTATAGGAATGTCCAGTGAACTGAGCCACCTACTTGGGACCTCTGCGGGAGAATCAGTGAAGATAACTAGTGATAAACCTCCAACTCAGATGGGACAAGCCAGGAAAACCAGGGGAAAAAAAAACATGCTTTCCTATAGATGCTCCCTTATTCCAATCCATCTATCCACACTCTTGGGGAAGTCCCCATCAAAGGTGGCAATGGAAAAGCCGGAAGATTTCGTTCGATGATTCTCCCATGAAAACCTCCAATTACTGTGGGGAGCTCCCATGTTTGATTACCGAAAAGTAAGTCCGTTCATATCCCATTCATATCCCATCAATATTCCATGATATGTGTCCCATGTGTGTGTATATAATATATATATATACGTATATACATATATACACACACATATGTATCCCATTTGGGGATACGATCGATCAGGATCTCTTCTCCTTCCTAGATCATCTCTTCGACCAAGAGTTGCATCCTCTCTACGGTTCAGCCAACCTGCGCATGGTGCGACCGTGGCAGAGCACCGGTTTCCACACCGACTCTGTTCTTTGACCATCGGAAATGGGGATTGAATGCGATACCATCGGGATAGAATGGCATATGAGCTATGGTCAATACTCATGGTTAATAACCATTAATAGGGGCTAGTCATCCAATGGTTCATAGGGATTTATAATAACCATTATAAGGATCCTTATTATGGATGGGATGACCATCAACCATATAGTGAGTATTGACCATGGCTCATATACTGAACCAAGAATATGATATGTGGGTATGTCTTTTCAAATGATGGTGAAAGCAGTGGGGAACTTCGGTAGTTCGGTATTTAAGCAACAAACATGTGGATTTTTCTAACCAGGCAGACTAGGGATAGCTCTTGGAATTGGAAACATTGTGGCCACACATCAAATTTGTGGAGAGGTCCCCTATGGTTTTTAGCACCCAAACGAAGAAGGAAGAGTCTTCACTGATTGAATCACTGAAGACATACTGGTTGGTGGTTTGGAACATGTTTTTTCCATATATTGGGAACAACCATCCCAACTGACGAAGTCCATCATTTTTCAGAGGGGTAGGGCGAAAAACCACCAACCAGCATAAAGTTGATTTACCCATTAAAAATTGTGATTTTCCATAGTTATGTTAGTTTACCGGAGGGTATAAAGTTGATGATTCCAGGGAGTCCTTCCCATTTTACTCATCGTTTTGAGGTGGTTCACCAGGTGAGCCATGTCTCTGAGTTGAGGTCTATATGGGCAAGTTGATGGAGAAAAACTTGCCACCAGTGACTGGTCTTGAAATGTCGCCTCAACATACCCATTTTGTTGGTAGAAAATATCCCCATGGTGTGAATCTCTGCGACCCTGAAATCTGGTGTAACAAGGTGATCTTCCATCATTGGCATCCTTTGATTTGCTGCCTCCAATGGGGATAAATGGCGAAGTTATGAACCAAAATTCTAGCCAAACGCGGAAAAACAGCAACTGGATGCGGTAATGCTTCGGGTGATCCTAATTGATCCGAAGAGTTTCGACACTTGAAACAGCGGTGATGAAGTGAAAGTTCTGTGCCAAGTCGGCATGGAGTGGGCGTGGCCATGGCTTACCCCTGAAATCCAATGGCTGAGAAGATCCGTTTCCCTCCTCAAATTTGGCAGTAATCCTCACCTGTTGGACCAACGTCTATCCATCAGTTGGTGAAATCCCTATGTTTGGGTGGTTATATCCCGCCATGATTGGATCACTTTGGATTAGTGTTCCATATTGTTGGCTATATTCACAAACTTCATCAATAACATCCTGTTTTATACAGGCAAAAGGTGAGTTAAATCCCCTCTTGGCGAATCATTCAGTCCCAATATTGGTGAAATCATGTGAAATGACGAAAAGTTTCATGGATGGAAAAGTTAGATCCAATAGATTTTGGAAGTTATCCATAGTTATCCCATGTTTTTTCCACAAAAGCCATGCGGCTGGTCTCTATTTCTGGCAATCCAACACGGCCATCGCCGACGCCTTTTTAGGTGATCGCCTGCTGGATTCCCGTGACCCCCATCCCACTCTCCCTGGGTGGCCTGGTGATCTGTCGGGGCTCCAACTCTCATCCAGGCGATGGGAGGATTTCACCTGGATGGGATGGAAATGATGGGTGAGGATGGTGAGTAACACGGTTTTTGTATCCCAGGTATCCCAATTATTGGACTTTTTTGAGGTGAAGTATGTGTAAAAACATGCGAACTGCAGGGTTGCTCCGAGCCATAGGTCCATAGGTCAATGATAGCCACTGTTGGGCAAATGGTTCATTCTACCTCCAAGTTACACAATGTACCCAACAGTGGGGTGGGAGCAAGCCTGAACTGAATGTCACCTGGTTGTAACCATATTTCAGGCAGTTGTTGCAACATGGAAACCATGAGCGGAGAGCGGTTTCATCATATGATACTGAGAATACTGTGATTAACATCTTCGGGTCTTGTTTCTGGACCAAGGCCCATGCATCTACAGAGAAAATTCAATGGCTTTCTCAATTGACTTGGAGGCTACTTTGGATCATCACCCCGTTTTGGTGGATGTTCTTGGGAACTGCTTCCCACAGGTTTTCAGCGCTTTCGGGAGACCTATGGGAAGTTGGATTTAGATGAGGCAGACATCGGCGGCACCGGGTGGTATACGGAAGATCCTCAGGAGGTATCTTTGCTGAACACTATCCATATGATGGGAGCGTTTGGACGAGTGAAGCATCTCATGAGGTAATCAACTTTAAATGGGGGACCAAAATCTCCGGAGCTCATTTTAGGCTGGTCAGCTCGGGTCTTTCGTTGCGGTGAATCCTGGTTGGGATGACTTGTTGCTGCGGATCGGCATGAAATCAGCATTGATGCTGCGGTTGCAGCAGTATACCGTATTTTTCACCAATTGAGTACTACCCTCTGTTTATTTAACATAGCCATGGTATAGATAGCCCATTTATAGATGGTTTACCTATGAAAACCTCTGATTCATCAATAGAGGGACGCCCAAGCAGACCTACTGATAGAATCACCACGGAGGCGTCACCACATGACGAGGCTTCATGTTCCGAGGATTCGTGACCCACTAAACCAGGTCACAGTCATCACAATCACCAGGTCAGTGTATGATATTTATGATCACTAATAAATCATAATCTACGAACAAAATAGTCATAATCATATTCACTATCCATAAACATCAATTGATGATGCTTCTTGATGTTTGGCTCAACCTTGGTTAGATATACTGAAAAATCCTTCGCTAGTGGTATCATTCGTCCATTCACCAGCTCAAAATGAGATTTCTTTGGCATCATTCGCCATGAACGGAAGGAAACCCTCAATAAAACCAGGGAAAGCCATCAATAAACATGGCGAAACCTCTTTTATGTTTGTTTACTGAGGGACAGCCCCGATGAAACCCGACGGGTCTAAGGTCCTGATGCTGGGCGGCCGCTTTGAAACCGCCGAATTCCAGCAAGGAGAGCGCTTCGCGAGCCGCTGAAGCACGGTCACGAACGTGAGTTCTTAGCAAAGTTATACGCGATGCAACCAGACTTAGACCCAAAAAATGGGAAATGAGAGATTTTGAGGGTTTTCCATTTGGCAAGTATGAAAAATGGGCTGATCATGGCTGGTAGTTGAAAACTGGGAAACTTGTCGAAGTAGGTGAAAAAATTGCAGGATTTTCCCGCCAGACCCGGCCAGATCCTCTATGGTTGTGGGTTAACATTGAGTACACCATCTGGATGGTGCATATATGTTCATATTAAAAGCTCACCCAATCTGCAATCCCTTCAGATTGAAGCTTTAACCCATGGACTGCTGTTTCATTGGTTGGTTTTAGTTATATCCCACTATATGCCCATTATGGTTGGTTTAAAACCCCAAAAAAGACAGGGTTGCTCCAGCCTATTACAGGTAAATGATAGCCACAAGGGAGGCAAGTTCGCAATTTTACCACTACATCAAGGGGAATTTGCGCCCAACAGTACCTGGTACCCTGAAAAGTATCTATATTTTGGACATCTAGGTATTGTGATAATATATTATATATATATATATTGATATTGATATCTCATAGATTGTATCAATGAAATTATCTACCTGTATATATTGTAATGTCGGCAAAACAATAATAAACCATCCACAATTTCACCATAGATAGGTGTTATGTTTACCATTCCCCAATGAGTGGTTTATGACATTGTTTTACCATCCATTAATTATTAATACCAACTTATGATACCAATGTTTAGCATGTTAAAATGTTTAACATTGTTCTATGGCTTGATGTTTTAACCGCATTATCAATATTATACTAATCTTGGAGCTGATTTTGCGACACCGCGCATCTTTTCGAGGAGATGTGGTCTTCTTCACGATGCATACCGTGCATGGCAGCACCTGCAACTGCAGCTTGGCTGCGTGAATGCTGCAGCTGATACAATGGGCTGCTGGTGTGATTTGTTTGAACATGTGTATAAATATGTATATGCATAATATATATATATATATACATATGTTTGTATATATATATATATACATGTATACCTATATACATATATGCAAGCCTCCCCTAAGATCTACCTTTGATGCTTTTCCAGAGACATGCATGATGAAACATACTGCATACTTCAACTAATTATGCAGTGAGTTTGATCATGAAAATTTTGCACGCCCTTCAAAGAAGCAGTATCCCTACAACATGTAGAGCATTCCTCTAAACATGCAGTGTTCTTTTTGAAGAAGTGCAGTTTTCTTCAGGAAATTATTCAGCCTTCGCTCAATCATACAGTATTGCTGTGAAAATGTGCAATGGCTGATGCTCATTACAGCATTCCTTGAAAAGAAAGATTGTTGTTAAAGGAAAATGCTGCGTGCAGTTACAATCTGCCATGAAGACAAGATAGTCCCTTGAACGAGAAGCACTATTCTAATTGTCCTTTTATAACCATGTTTTAATGAAAAACTGACTGCATATATAATGTCTTGAACATAGTTGCCCTGAAGACAATGTTTTCCTCAAATAACAAGCACCATTCTTGCAGAAAAAATACAATATATGGACAGATGCAATACATCCTTCATGAAGTTCGGCCTCACTCTGAATGAAGCTCAAGCCAAAGCAAGTCGTCTTGTGGAACTGATGATGTGTTTGAGCAGCCATGCATCATGTTTATGTTAGCAGTTTGTATTGGTTGCCAACAGCTTGCGCAGGTTTTGAGTTGCAGCACTTGCATGACAGCAGTTGCATCACAGCAGTTGCATGACAACACTTCTAACTGACATGTGTTTCAGCAGGCATGCATGAGGTGGATGTTAGAAGTCTGTATGGGTTAGTAACAGCTTGCTTAGCTTGTACATGACAGCACTGGTATGATAGCGGTTGCATGACAGTGCTTCCTAGTGACATTTTCTTACATCGGTTGTGCCGTTGATCCTTGCTGGGGCTGGGCACTGTTGATGCCTGTAGCGCATATGCATTGCTTGCATGTTTCTTCTGTGGTAGGTTCTCTGCGGTGGCAAAGTTGCGGCCATGCTACAGGCTTGTGCTCTGGGGTCTGCTTGGAAACACTTGCGACTGAGACTGGAGTGCATGACCGACATTGGAGTGAGTCCAGGAAATCATGGTGACTCAGTGGTTTTGTTAGACAGAATAGAACATTTCCACCTCTGATTCGAATCCAGAAGTGTTGGCTGTTTGCGCATCAAAACATGCAGAAACCATTGTATATCCATGTTATTGATCAAAACATCGATAGTATATATTTATGTAGCTGGTGTAGATCCACTGTCGGTGTTTTGCAGCTATGGTGAAAAATTCGTGGCCGACTGGAGTGACCAGTTGGGCTGACACGGTGAAATTCGCGCAGCTACTGTTTGGTAGCGACGTTCAATTTGAAAATTATAGCCACCGGTTGCCACACAACAGCAATGAAAGCTTTTTGCTGTTTGCAAAGGGAGCATGCAAAGAACCACGTCCCTTTAGTTGCATTCGGGAGCTGATTGCGGGGCAGTTGGAGGAGGTCAAGGAGTATGAAAGCTTTTTGCTGTTTGCTTTGAACATATCATGCTAACCAATACAAACTTATAACATCAACATCATGCACGCCTGCTCAAACACTGTATAGAATGCCTAATAGAATGCCAAATAGTTTGATGTTAGCTATGTTTAATTAGAGTGGTGCCCACTTGATTTGTTTTAGCTGTGACCATGGCTATGCCTGAATGGTGCGAAGACTGGTTGCAATTCGTTTTGGCGAGCTTTGAGAGAGATATACCTTTGATAGAGGCTGCAGATCGAGCGTGCTTCGTATTGGAAATACTTTTTCGTGTTCTTGGTCAGCGTCCGGGACTTGAAGATTTGCAGAAAACATGGAAAGCGCTGCGGCTGGCCTTGTTATTCCAAGATCCAGGGGCTGCTGCCGTTGTGCCAGTATTGCTACCGCTTCTTTGGCCCTATTTCACTGCCACTCTTGAACATGATGCTCGAAACAGCTATGTGACCTTCAGAGCATTTCGGAATAGACTTAGACAGAGACTTTTTGATGGCTTGCACGGATGTTTCATGCTATTGCAACAGTTGGATCCTGTGGAGCACTTGCATGTATGGCCAGACTTGGCAGAAGCAATGCTTGTGGTGGAAAATATACTAACTGTTGTGATGACTGGTGATCCTGCTCCTATGTGATGACTGGTGATCACGGGTGCACTGCTTGTAGGCTGTGTGTCCTCACCAGTTCTATCCGGGTCGATCTTGTCGATGCATCCGGCATGGGCTGAGGTGGCGTATGCGAATGAGATGTTTCATGAGAGCTCATCATGTCAGAATCAACTTGATCTTGGTTTGTGATAGTGGGAAAGCTGTGTATGTTTCGAGAGCAGCACAGTGTACATCAGAAGTTCGGTCTTGAATCAGGTGGTGGCCTGGTATGTCTTGGCATGTTTGTTGTCCAGCCTCATCTGCAGGTGACATTCCATCACTGATTCAGATGGTTTCCCACAGTGTCCTGGCATGTTTGTTTTCCAAGCTGTGCTGCAGGCGACATGACATGAGTGATTCAGGTGGTCTCCAACATGTCTTGGCATGTTTGTTTTTCAAGCTGCACTGCAGGCGACATGACATGAGTGATGCAGGTGGACTCCAACATGTCTTGGCATGTTTGTTTTGCAGCCTGAACTGCAAGCGGTGACGCCAGGTGACATTCGCGAGTGAAGCGGCAGACCGGCTAGCAACGTCACAGACCAAAAAAGAACGCAATGGCTTGCTTGCAAAGGGAGTGGCTGGTATCTATGTGACAAAAAAATTGTCAGTAACAAAACGTATAAATGTCTTGGTGGGGATCACTCGAAGTAAAGTAATTTTAAAAAAAAAGTATATCTTTTTGTTCCGGAGCTGTCTCATGCTGTTCAAGTTGTCATATCCATCGGCAGGGCCACGTCAAACGGATTAGTCGTGAATTAGGGAATAGAAAAATGGGCGAGAGACACATGCAGCACATGCACCTGTGAAAACACAATGTTTCGTGCACTTTGGAATAAGTGCGAATTAGGGAATAGAAAAAATTGGACGAGAGACACATGCAGCACATGTACCTGTGAAAACAAAATGTTTCGTGCACTTTGGAAAAAGTTGCGAATTAGGGAATAGAAAAAAATGAGACGGGATACGGGATACGCATGCAGCACATGCACCAGTGAAAATAACATATTAATATGTTCTTTTCATGTCGAAAATAATCTACTTAATCTACTTAGGTAGGAATGGGAAAGGAGACCCACTTGCTGCATTGACATGCAAAATGAGACAGCCCCTGGTCCCAAAACAAGAGTTGCTCCTCCTATCCCCCAACGTTCATCTAGACGTGTTTGAACAAGCTGCTATCCCCAAATGGCTAACAACCAATTCTTCTTTCAACAAGCTTGCAGCCCCAAAGGACATTTTCCTGCTCATAGCTCAAGCGTGATCCGCGCGTAACTTTTCTGGCCTTGCAGTCGTGAAGGTTTGCCAGCTGCCATACATTAGTTTGCCGTCCCCAAGCTCGGCTCAAAGCGCGGCAACGTGTCGCAAGAGGGTACGGCTGCTTCATCCTCTGCTGCCCGCGCTGACAGTGTCTCAGAGACATGTGTCAGGGCTGCCATTGATGAACTGCTTCCAGGGGTGAACTTGGAAGAGGCCTCTCTGTGTGAGTTCCGATCCGCTTTGTCGCTGCATGTGGCTTGTCCACAAGGCACTACATGCACCCACGCTCGCGCAGCCCAGGGATTCTTTGATGCTAATGCAGAGACCTTGTCCTCTCCGCTCATCTCTGGCCAAACGACGACAGGGGCCCGATGATTGTTGGGCCGACCAACTCTGAGAAATCCACCTTGGTCTTACCCTTCGACACACTCTTTGGATTTGGGCAAGTGTTTCACAAGCCAGCCCTTGGATCGTCTTCCGCCCTTCGGAACATCTTGAAGGAGAAACGCTGTCTCTTCTGGGACGATTTCTGCCCTGTGGGGTGCGGCCGAAGGACAGTGCCGGTCACTACCTTCTTGAGCCTTTTCCAGGGGCAGCCCTTCGAGGCCCAGGTTTCCCAATCCTTCAATGACGGCAATGTCGACTTTGAATGGCATCACGGCTGCGTGCTCACTGCCAAAACCGAAGGCTTGTTGGCACCAGCAGGATGTGATGACGATGAAGACATCCGTCAATGAAGAGAGAGCCGCGTGCTCCTCTTCCATTGCATGGCCACCGTGCAGTCCATGAAGGACACCATGCCATGTGCCAGGTGCATGTGCTCCTGGATTGTCGTCACTTTGATGCGGCCCAGGCCGTGCGAGTGCCCCAGTTGCCGTTTGCTGGCGCTGAACGCCAACAAGTTCCAGGCAAACTAGAAGGCATGGCAGACATGATGGCCCACGCAAAGCTGCCACAGCCAAAGGCTGAGGCCTTAGCAGCTGAGATTCTGGCTCTCGGAGCTCTTGACATAAATGAGCTGACCGTGGGCGACTGGAAGAACTTGGCTGCTTTTCAAAACTTGCTGCCTTTAGAGCAGCGTCGGCTCTTGTCCTTCTTGCTGCCAGGCTGAGCAACCATTCAATGTGCCAATGCTTGAACCCAATTAAATGTGCATTTCACCTTAATGATCTTCTTGCTTCACGTGCAACGCGCCAAAAACCTGTGTGAAAGCAGCTCACCGTTGTTTGGTCCATGCCGCACCCCGCAGTTGGCACCGTAGATGGACGAAATATTCAAACCTTTGCTATCCGACACAACCCCCTTGCCCCCAAAGTTCAATGTTAATGTAGCTTGAGGTGCATGAGTCCCAGTGGACGAAAGAAATCAAACCCCCAACATCACTTTGCCCGACAACACGCGCCCTGAAACATTGAGATTTGGGGTGTGGGGGTTCAACATTCTGTGGCTCCCAGGGTTTGAATATTTTGTCCATCTACTGTAGGAACACAACATTACCGCACCCTGAACCGGAACACAAGATAACATGTTCCGCAAGGGCATGCATGGAGCATTGGACTCCACTGGATTTCGTTGGACTCTGAAACGAAAAGACTGACTCTTCCACACAAAACGAGCCAAAAAGATAGGCCACCCGGCGGGAATTCCTAGAAAGGTTTGAACGTACGTGGCCACCAAAGCCTCCGCCGATGCCACCACTGAACGTGAAGACCAAGCAGTGCGTGCGCCTTGTGCAGGTCATGCCACCTTTTATTTTTGCACTTTTGGGATGATTTTGGGATTATTTGCTTTTGCACTTTTTGAAGTTTGCATTCCGGGGCTGAATGAATTACATGTGCAGCTGCGTTCTGCAAGCTTTTGCCTACTTCAAAAGACCGAAAAGGTGTTCTGCATGTCTTTCGAAAGTTGGAGTTGCAGCGCATGTCTTTCGAATCTTGGATCTTGGATTTCTGCCCTGGATCCAAGAAAATTGTTTTGAAAATCTTGGATCTTGGATCTTGGATCTTGGATCCGGATCCAAGATTTCCGCCCTGGATCCAAGAAAAGTTTTTTGAAAATCTTGGATCTTGGATCTTGGATTCGTGCGCCCTGGGATCCGAAGTCTGACAGCTGTTCAGACTTGAGATCCCAAGTCTGACAGCTGTCCAGACTTGAAATCCCAAGTGTGAGGTCCCACCTGTTATCTTGAAACCTAATGTCATTCATGTATATGTAAATGTATATGTATCTGTGTATGTGTATCTATAAAAAGTCTTCCAGGTAGATCTAAAAAGTCTTCCAGGTAGATCTCAGGGGGGTACCATATATATATATGTATATATATACATATGTGTATATATATATATATATATAGTTATAGAGATATACATATATATGTTTGTTTATATACACACACAATTATAATTATAATATATATATATACATAACAATTGCCTTGGGTTCAACCGTATTTGGGACGAAAGTCCCTCCTACCTCATATTAATGGTGAGTCGTCGGTCCCAGGCACGGAGCGTTGGCGCCTCTCCCTGGACTTCCGCATCCAGGCAGAGTCCTGTTCCAGTGGCGCTGACGAAGCGAACAAGGGCAGGCGGAAGGGATGGCTTTTCGTAGGTCAATTCCAGGCAAGACATGATCATTCACATGACAAATGGTGGTTTTTCCTGGGAATATGGAATAGAATATGGGATATGAATGGACCATGCACTAGTTGACCCGTAATCCAACATGGCGAAAGTCCACCCACTTCGATGATTTTCTGTCGACACCTCCATTCTTGATGGGGATTCCCAGCCACCTTTGATGACACCGGAGGGTATCTGGCTTTTAGGGGGTTACTCAACTCACTAGATGAAATTCAATCGTTTTTTGCTGACTTTAGAGGTGATGTTGGGGCAGTTGCAGATGGGTATAGGTCCCGTCTTTGGGGCAACCAAGAATTGATAAAAAAGTGTACCCAAAATTGGTCGTCCGGTGGGTCAAAAATTTTGACCCATACCCTTGTGTTCAGAATGTGAGAAAGCCGATAACAAACCAGTTGCTCAAGAAAAATAAGTGGAAAATTAGGTTTGGCGGAGCAACTGTTGATTCCAAACCCATCATTCGTTTCTCCGAAAAATAGGGGACGCCCCACAATAGCCCCTGTGCCCTAGAAGATGCGAAAGTAATGATCAAGCATGAGATTTTGTGGTACCCTATTTTGACACAAAAACATATAGTGGCTCATGATCAATTGACAATTGGGTTACTATCAGTATGGTGATTGCAGGGGCCAACTGACTTTAGAAGGAAGACTGGATCAATCCTAATTGTGTCTCTGTTCTTGGTCATAACCCAGTGTCTTCGCAAGTTTAGGATTATAAAACTCACATAAAAACATGAAACATGAAAACCTCTTGGTTTTACACCTGATACAGCATCTGAGTCCCGAGGTTTGCATGTTTTATGGTATTTTCTCAGGTGGTCGCGATTGAGGCACGATCCTTCCGATGCTTGGCCTGGCAGAGCCAAAAAGTGGATCAAAGATGAGAAGAACTGGATAACAACTGGATAACCAAGGTTTATTGATACTATTCGAAGGAAGTTTAGAAGTCAAACTTCCGACAATATGGAGAGATGAAAAGCAGAGCAGGGCAGAGGCAGAGAGAAGAGGAAGATTAGAAGAGAGAAGATCAGAAGAGAAAGAGTAAGAAGACAGAAGATACAGATGCGCGAAAAGGTAGGAAAGTCGCGAAACACTGTGTTTTTCCAATGAGTTGTGGCTCCGGAGGGTCGAAAAGTAGGCTCGCTAAAGCGGCGGGTGCAGAGCCAGCTGGCCACAGGAGCGATGAAAAATTGCGCGCCGTTGTGGCGCGAAGCACATTTCCAAGTCAAAATGTACAAAACACCTCAGCGTCGGACCACTTTTGGAAGTTGCGATGTCGAAAAAATGCACGCCGTTGCGCGAAGCACATTTTGAAGTCAAAATATACAAAACACACCAGCTTCGGGCCACTTCTGGAAGTTGCGATGTCGAAAAAGTGCACGCCGTTGTGGTGCGAAGCACATTTCCAAGTCAAAATGTACAAAACACACCAGGTCCGGACCACTTTTGGAAGTTGCGATGTCGAAAAAGTGCACGCCGTTGTGGCGCGAAGCACATTTCGAAGTCAAAATGTACAAAACACACCAGGTCGGACCACTTTTGGAAGTTGAGATGTCAAAAAAGTGCACGCCGTTGTGGATCGAAGCACATTTCGAAGTCAAAATGTAAAAACTGGCGGTCCGGACCACTTTTGGAAGTTGCGATGTCGAAAAAGTGCACGCCGTTGTGGCGCGAAGCACATTTCGAAGTCAAAATGTACAAAACACACCAGGTCCGGACCACTTTTGGAGGTTCAGATGTCGAAAAAGTGCACGCCATTGTGGCGCGAAGCACATTTCGAAGTCAAAATGTACAAAACACTAGGGTTTCGGACCATTTTTGGAGGTTCAGATGTTGAAAAAAGTGTACGCTATTGTGGCGCGAAGCACACTTCGAAGTCACACTACATTACAGTACATTACTCCTCGAGTACACTCCACTACACTAAATTACACTACACCACACTACATTACACTGAATGACACTGCAACACAGATAGACAGGTAGACAGCTAGACAGATAGAGAGATGAAAGGGAGAGGGAGATAGACAGGTAGGTAGATAGATAGATAGATAGGTAATTAGATGAAAGAGAGAGAGAGAGGGGCCAGCTGGGTAGATGAGATAGATAGATAGATGGCTAGACAGATAGACAGACAGAAAGACAGACAGATCGATAGACAGACAGACAGACAGACAGATAGATAGATAGATAGATCGATAGATACAGAGATCGATACATGGAGAGATAGATAGATACATGGAGAGATAGATTGATAGACAGAGAGATAGATAGATATATCGATAGATAGATAGATAGATAGATAGATCGATAGATAGATAGATAGATCGACAGATAGATAGACACATAGATAGGTTGATAGATAGATAGACACATAGATAGAGACATAGATAGATGGACAGACAGACAGATAGATAAATAGATAGACCGATAGACAGACAGATAGATAAATAGTTACAGGGACAGCTAGAGAAATAGATGGCGAGACAGACAGATAGATACATGGACACATAGACAGATTGTTAGACACCAAGATAAATAGAGATATAGATGGGTAGAGACATAGACAGATAGATAGACAGACAGATAGAGAGAGAGAGATATATATATATATGTATATATACCTTACAAATCCATAACCAAAATTTTTCTAGGTTTTGTTCAAATACCCAGGGTTTACACGCAAAACCCGAGGCTTTCCAAAACCTGATCATTTTTGAAGTCTGATTGTTGTTTTGAATTCTATGCTAGATCGATAGATAGATAGATAGATACATAGATAGATAGATAGATTGGTAGGTAGGTAGGTAGGTGCACCATAGATAGATAGGTAGACAGACAGACAGACAGATAGATAGATAGACAGGTAGACAGCTAGACAAATAGACCGATGAAAGAGAGAGAGAGAGATAGATAGATAGATAGACAGGTAGACAGCTAGACAGATAGACAGATGAAAGAGAGAGAGAGAGAGATAGATAGATAGATAGATTGGGTAATTGAATGAAAGAAAGAGAGAGATAGATAGATCGATAGATAGATAGATACATAGAAAATAGATAGGTAGGTAGGTAGATAGTCAGAGAAAGAGAGCGAAAGAAAGGAGACCTCAAGCACCTTTCGGTCCATCGGTGGCTTCGCTCTGCCATCCCTGGTTCACAACAACCAACCTCTCCTATAGGTTTCCTATTTTTGAAACTTCCGCCACCGCCTTGTGCGGTACTACTGGTAATCGAAGGAAGTTTAGAAGTCAAACTTCCGACAAAATGGACCGATGAAAAGCAGAGATGAGAAGAGTCAGGGAAGAGAAGAGAAGAATAAAGAAGATCAAAAAAGAGAAAATCTCAGAAGAAAGATGATCCAGGTGCGCGAAAAGGTAGGAAAGTCGCGAAACACTGTGTTTTTCTCCGGAGGGTCGAAAAGTAGGCTCGCTAAAGCGGCGGGTGCGGAGCCAGCTGGCCAGATGAGAGATGAAAAATTGCGCGCCGTTGTGGCGCGAAGCACATTTCTAAGTCAAAATGTACAAAACCAACAGCGGACCACTTTTGGAAGTTGACATGTCGAAAAAGTGCACGGCGTTGTGGCGCGAAGCACATTTCTAATTCAAAATGTGCCAAACACACCATGCTCAGACCACTTTTGGAAGTTGAGATGTCGAAAAAGTGCACGCCTTTGTGGCGCGAAGCACATTTGAAATCAAAATGTACAAAACACACCATGTTCGGACCACTTTTGGGAGTTGAGATGATGAAAAAGTGCACGCCGTTGTGGCGCGAAGCACATTTGGAAGTCAAAATGTACAAAACACACCATGTTCGGACCACTTTTGGAAGTTGAGATGATGAAAAAGTGCACGTCGTTGTGGCGTGAAGCACAAAACACACCAGGTTCGGACCACTTTTGGAAGTTGTGATGTCGAACAAGTGCACGCCATTGTGGCGCGAAGCACATTTCGAAGTCAAAAGTGTAAAGCACTGACGGGTTCGGAGTACTTTTGGACGTTCAGATGTCGTTTTGCGTGGCAGGCGCAAGGGATTATGCACCTTGTCAAAAGTGAGCAAAACAGGAGGGTTTTGCAGCATTTCCACAAACGATGGCAGGCGTGGGACATTTGAAGAGGATCTGCAAAGATGCATTTTCCGTGGCAGGCGCAGTACAAGAGACATGTTCATCAGAGCTGTTAGGAGGTCAGGGCGCTGATTTCCTGAGAAGGGTTGCATTTGGAGCATGAGATCTTCAGTTTTGTGCAGATGATTTTGCGTGACAGGTGCAGCACTTCGTATGATCTGGCATCACTTTTTCGTGGCAGGTGCACTATTTTAGACAGGTGGAGTGGAAAAATTGCAAAACGCATTGGTAAACGCATTGGTACGAGGCTGTCAGCTCCGCACTCAACTTTTCATTTTTGAAGGAAGTCTCGCAGAATTGCTTCGTTTTTGATGTTGTCAACTTCGAAAAATGAGGAAGTCTCGCAGAATTGTTTCGTTTTTAACGTTGTCAAGTCAAAAAATAAGGACGTCTCGCAGAATTGCTGCGTTTTGCAAAAGGTGAGGAAGTCTCCCAGAATACCTTCGTTTTCAAGCTGGCAGATAGACAGATAGATAGATAGATAGATAGACAGAGAACTGCAGCTACAACTACAAGTACCGCTACACTACACTACTACTACAACTACAAGTACAAATATACTACTCTACATTACACAACACTAATTGCACTACACTACACTAATTACATCTAATTACACTACACAAGACTAATACACTACAAGTACTACAACAGGAACTACTCCTACTCCTACTACTACTACTACTACTACTACTTCTACTACTACTACTACAACGACTACTACGACTACTACTATTGTTATTACTACTACTACTACTACCACCACCACTACTACTACTCCTACTCCTACTCCTACTCCTTCTCCTACTACCACTACCACTACCACTACTACTACTTCTTCTACTACCACCACCACAGCTACAACTACAATTACAGCTACACCACATTACATACAATACACTAATTAAACTGCAGTACGTGACAGCTACAAATACAAGTACAACTACACTACATTACACAACACTACACTACACTAATTGCATTACATTACGCTACAACTGCAAGTACCACTACAGTGCACTACCCGACACTACATCTACAACTACACTACACTACAATACACTAGACTACACTACACCATACCACGCTACAGTACACAACACTACAGTACACTACAGTACACTACGCTAATTACACCACACCACGGCTACAACTGCAACTGCAACTACACTACACTATTTACCCTACAACTACAACTACAACTTACAACTACAACTCCACTACAACTACAACTACAACTACAACTGCATTACACCACACTGCATCCAGCAGCTGTGGGTGAGGTGACCACTGCAACCATTGCAACCACTCCAGAAAACACAACTCCAACCACCTTTCGGTCCATCAGTGGATTCGCTCTGCCATCCGTGAGTCACAACAACCAAACCTTCCTATAGGTTTCCTATTTTTGAAACTTCCGCCACCGCCTTGCGCGGTACTACTGGTACTATTTGGGGGAGCCACCACAATTAATCAACCAGGGTTTATTAATCCGGGGTTGACATTAACCATGATAGATCTTCCAGGTCCAAGACCAAGCATGGCCTACATAAACTGTATGTTTTTCGAGACGAAAAAAGTCCTCCGAAGCTCGGTTCAAGCAGGGGTTGCATGAGATACGTCCAGTCTCAATTGTCATTTCAAGTTGCTAGCAATCCAACTGTCTGTATATAGTTCCAATATATTATAATTGGGTATCCAACTATAATATTGACAACAGCTATGACTGGAATTCCTACATATTCCTACGTTCAAAAGGCGTTTCTTCACCGCTTCTCGAGCTGGCTCAGGAATTCCCGCGGACCATGGAGCAGGCCGCTTCCAGGGTGAGAACCCGATGAGATCATCCTCTCCTGAAAAAAAGTTGGGATCAACATGAATGTGGGTAAAACAATGCCATAACGCACCCATGACTGGGAATGGTTTTTATATACCAACTATAATTCATGCTGATGACTGGGAGATGGTTTATTTATGGCATAGTGACAATAGTGAATAGTATCTGAACTTAAAAATCTAAACGACACAAATTCCCATGGAAAATTTCCCATAGCCGATGAGTTTGGGTTGGTTTCACCATCTTTGGGATTATCACAGCTGAGTATGCAGAAAATTTGCCAGAAAAGTTATCCTACTTCCACACCATGTTTTTGGGTTCACCAAAAGGTCAGATACCCTTTTCAACCCCAAAAGCTTGGATGTTTTATTTAGATAATACTATATGATTATATTCATCATCTTTGTCGCCGCCGTCATCATCACTTTCATTATAGAAATAACTCCAAGATAAGCCGTTGCGTCAATGATGTATATTTTACCGTCGGGTTTACTTCCTGAGAAATTTTCAGCCACACCTAAACCCAATGAAGCATCTGGTCGTGGATCAAAGACCCACAGATAAAATCCAGGTGTAACCCCATGATGAAACCTGTGGATGTCCAGGCGAAGGTCTCCTGGGGCCTGACATCTCCGGTGACCGCCGTGACCGGTGACCGGCCTGACAAGGAGCGTAAGATCAGCATACACGCGTAAGCCACATCATTTGCAGATAGATTAGATTAGGTCAGGTTAGATTAGGTTAAATTAGATTAGATAGATAGATAGATAGTGATCCTGCAAGCATATTCAGTTCCAGCAGAGATCAATGCCAAATTCATGATACGGACTTTGAAACCTGAGCAGCCCACATCTTTGACACCGCAGGAGCCCCGATGGCAGTCGAGTGCAGAAAAAAGTGTTACTGCCAACTCGTCAACCCGTGAACTCTTGAGCTCATGCTTCTGAACGCTGCAAGTTTTACAACAGGCAAAGCTCCAAAGCTTTGGATGTTTTCGTTAAGCAAAACCTGCAAGCCCCAGTCACTCAAAGGTGCTGCGGTGCTGTTCCAAAGTGGCCACTCGCTCCAAATTTGTCTCTGGCTCAAAGGATCTAATTCGAGTGCCAAGCTGCAGCACAACCTTCCAGTCAAACACATGCGCGACCAAAAAAGTAGCAAGTGCGTGCTGCCTGTGCATCCAGGAGTGTCATCATCAAATTCCAGCATCATATCGAACAAAAAAAACCTACTGCCAGATGATCCGATTTGTCTGGTTGTACCCAAGCTAATTTGATTCAAAAGTTGGCGACTTCTCTATTTTCACCTGCTGGAAAGATGATGGCTATGCGTCGCAATGGAGATCAGAGGACCTGTTCGTTTTTCTCCATGGTCTTGTCATTGCAAATCAGCTGTTTTAATAGCTAAATCATAATCTTTATCATCTATAAAATGGACCATTTTCCAAGGTAAACTGTTTCGTAATCAGAGGTTTATGGGAATCATTGGATGTTCTTGTGATTTGCTGAAGCTGAAGCAGGCGTGTTTGGGAAATCTATCCAACGAAAGCCATGGAGAAGATGCGTGGCCTGCAAACTTTACCTTCAAAAACTTGCTGCACCACATGTGGCTTGTTCCCTTACTAGCCTTACTAACTTCTGCCCCCTTTTGAGCAAAACATCATGGATCTGCGCCACGGTGTCAAGGACCTAGACCCCATGGATCCCATGGAATCCATGGGCCGGCGCCAGCCGACCCCGTGACGCCCTCCAAGTCTGTGACGAGTGCAGCGAGTGGGGCGAGTTGCCGCCGCGACATGCGAAAGGAACTGGAAGAATGGCGCCTGGCCAAAGCCCGACACCAAAGTCAGAGTGAAACTTGGAATGGGGAAGCAGATTGTTCACAGCTTTGGGAAATTCACCAGATTTAGGGAATATCTGTATTGTCCTTGATTTTCTGAGTCGGTGATTCTGTATTTCACCATGTGTCAATCTACCATGACTGGGGAGAATCCATAGTGGATAGTCCTTAATTGTATGGGGGGCCTCTTTAGCAATACCAAGCTGGTCTTAGAATGCCTCAAAAGGATGCACAAAAATATGCAGATTTGAACAGCACAAAACGGAGAATCCAACCTGCAAAACTGGAGATTGACCCGGGAATCATTGGCTTCTACCAGTTGAATTTTGCAGACGTTGCATTTGTTGTTGATCACTAGTATGTTTGTGGCCAACATGCGTCACTAGTAGGAGTTCTCCACCCAGCACTTGCGAGCTGGCCATGGGATTTCGACAAAGGTGACCCTCCATCGATGGTTGCCAACGATGGTTGCTGTTTTGTTAAGTCTAAACCATAAACAAACCCCATTCCGCAGATTTGGATCATCTATTCTTGAGGTCAAGGGGTTGATCCGCATGAAATTTCAGTCCCCTCATTCCAGTTCGCCCTAGGAAAAGTTGCCACGTGGAAAGGAGAACTGTCCGAGCGTCGGCACCAACGGTGCCAACGGCGACGACAAACGGATGCCGGGCACTCCGAAGGCTCCCAGACGGTCAACTGTGGATACTCCACGGCGTCACAGCCCTGAGAGGTTGCTGTGTGATGCTGGTGCTTGGAAGAAAAAGATGGGATGCCAATAGGCATTGGGCCAGCAAGGTGTACTTGGTAAGATATCAATCAGATGTACTTGGTGCATTTTGTATGGGGTTCTTTAACATCTTTAATGGAATGGGCGCCAACGGGCGTATTTTTGTGGTGCAAGCATCCAAGAGGCATCTTTCAGCAGAGGGCCCAGGGCCTCTGAATGCCTTTGATATTCACTTTCTAGTTCATTTACAGCTACCATCCAATTATTCAATCATGTGGTCAATGGCGAAGAACATGCCTCATTGACACTCATTGACATCACAACTTAAGCAGCGTCATTTTACATCAAAAATCTCCAAGGGCTCCCATCATCAGGTGCTTTTCGCACCCGCTCTCCGATGCCTGCGCCGCGCAGTGCCCGGTCCCGGTCCTCCCGGTCCCAGCTGGGAGTGCCACAGATGCCGCAGTCCTTCCAGTGCCCCAAGAGTGACTTGCTCAGTTTCCCACCACACATGGTTGCCTAAAATGGTACCCCCAAATATCCCATAGCTGGATGGTTTTCATGGAAAATCCCATTAAGATGATTTAGGGGTAGCCCTATGACTTAGGAAACCCCCACGCATCTTCGTTGGTCTGATCCTTTTGCCAGTTGAACCAGCCATGTCCCAAATGGAAGTGGAAACAACAAACATCCACAAGCATGCAAAAGGTGACAGATGAGCCAAGGAACATGTGGGCTCAAAGAATTTATACAAAATTGTGGGCATAGACATATTCAGTACCACCCCGATTTTTCTCAGTGTATTTCTATCCATCATAATTCATCGTATCAGCATTATTAATGATGGTTGATTATAAAATCCCATCGCTTTGCTGGTTCAACATCTCATTAAGTTATGGGTATTTATCGCCAACCATAGTTGCTGGTGATTTTCCATCCATTGACAATGCTGATATCATCCCATTATATCACGATTGTGGTTGTTTAATCTTGATAATAAATTCCCGTCACCATTCTATCTCCAATGTCTATGATATATCAATTAAAGCCCGAATGAAATCCCGAATGAAATCCCATTCAATCCCAATCAATCCTAGTAAAATCCCATTAATAGCATTAAATCCCATTAAATCCGATGTAATCCCATGTAAATCCTCGTAAACCCCAACAACGTTGCTGCTTCCCAATGTCCGAGGTGAGCTCCGTTCCAGCACCCTGGCTGAGCTGCTGACCTCAAGGCCACCGCTTTCCGCGCCACCCAACTCGCCGAGGACGGCCATGGCGCTGCTGGGGCAACCCGCTGGATGCTTGGAGCATGGGAGTCCGCTGGATGTTTCTATGGGTAAATTGGATTAACCCTAGGGATATAGGAATTGATGATGAGAGATGGCTATCACAAAGGTGCCCGGGATTATAAAGGATGATCAACCGCAGTTGGGAGAGGCTTTTCCGAACAATCAATGGGGCGAGGGCGGTCAATCCATTGGGGTATCCCATGGGTTGGAAACCGAGCCGCAGGACGATGATATAAAGCCCTTTAGTTGGGATAGGTTTTCCCTATAACTATGGGTATATAACGACAAACCACCCAACTCGGAACTGCACTCCCAAGTAGCCATTTGGAGGTATTCGGGCAATCTCAAATCCGGCCAATCATGATTTTAGCCATTCTTCGTGGCCCAAATTTCATGGGTATCCCTCGCAGACGTTAAACCTGTTTGAGAAAGTGTTTTTTGAAGCACCCTCGGGTTATGACTAACATACAAGGTATAGATGGCCCATTGATAGATGGTTTACCTGTTAAAATTGCAAGTTCCACCGCGGCCTGGTTCTAAAGCATCTTAAAACTAGTTTTTTTTGTTTTTTTTGTTTTTTTTTCATTTTTAAAGTTCATTTGGAAATCTGCTTTTTTTCCTGCCTTCATTTTGAATTCATTTTCATTTCTGCTTTTTTTGGCTTGTGATTGGAGTTTGTGATCCCCAGTGGAAAAAATGAAACATTTTGGGGCCTTGCTGGGCTTCCTTGGGGCTTTTGAGGCTGTCTCTGGCTGTGACAGGTTGGGGTTCTTGCTTGGCATGGCCAAAATGTTCAAATTGCTGGAGAAAGTGTTCCAAAGCCCAAGAAATTAAGTTTCTAAATATAAATTTTGACCATTGTTTCATTTGTGGCAAAGGGAAACCTGGCCAGGATTTGTTGAGGTTGATTGCTCAACTTAACTTAACTTAACTAAAACCAACCAAAAACCAAAATCCTAAACCCTAAACCCTAAACTCTTAGGGTTTAGGGCGGGTTTGGGATAGGGTATTTGAACTTGAAATTTTGAAACAAGGAGATAAACAAAAAACAAACTTTTGCTTCGAACATTTTTCCGGAATGAAAAAAAAATGAACTTTTGACGTGGGCAAAATTTCAGAATGAACTTTTTTTGGGGACCAGAAAAAAAATGAACTTTCAGAATGAAAAAAAATGAAAAAAAACGAAAAAGTTCATTTTTTTCATTTTTTTCGTTTTTTTTCATTTTTTTTCATTCTGCAAATCTGGTCTGACATGAAAGTTCATTCCAGAAATTGGCTCAACATGAAAGTTCATTTTTTTCCCCTTCTGAAATTTTGATCAGCAGGACGGTTCACTCTGTTCGATTCTCTTCTCTTTGATTTGTTTTGGCAATTTTGAAAAGTCAGAAATCGTTTTTTTTAAATATTCTTTTGTTTTTAGATTTTTAAATTCTAGATTTTAAAAGTTCATTTTTTTCCATTTTGAAAGTTCATTTTTTTTAATTGTGGTTCTTCTTCTTTTTTTTGGACATCATTTTGAAAACTGCTTGGTATGCCACCTGGTATTTCAAAAACTGGTACTTTGGAACTTTCTTATTTTCAAAACTGGTACTCTTGGCTGCTTTTGTTTTTCAAAAGGAACTATTTCACAAACCTGAGACTTTTGAGGAACAAAGGCAGCCAAGAGTACCAGTTTTGAGGGTAAGAAAGTTCCAAAGTACCAGTTTTTAAAATGCCAGGTGGCATACCAAGCAGTTTTCAAAATCATGTCCAAAAAAAAGAAGAAGAAAAAAGCAGAAAAAAATGAAAAAAAAATGAACTTTTAAAATGAAAAAAAATATTTAAAAAAAAACTGATTTTACTATTTCTTAGAACCAGGCCGACGGGGGAACTTGCAATGTTAAAACTGGTGATTTTCCATGGCTATGTTAAAGAACCAAATGGTAAAAATTATTGACCCTCAGGGTTTGTTGGGCTACCTCTGCTTTCAACATCGATAGCAGGTAGAGATGTGGTCGCGGCTGAAATGCCAAGATTTTTCCTAGCTTCATGACATACAATGGGCAGCTGGGAGAAACAATCCATCCAAGATTGGGGATACGTACTGGAGATGCCTCTATAACTGGGATGATTTATCCCCCAAATGGTTGACGACTGGGGTCATTTATTAGGTCCACTAGGTCCACCCCTTACCCCATTCCACCAGTTGACCGAGTCACTTTTCCCATGATAGCCATAGTTTTGTTGATGAGTCCCACCTTTGCAAATACCCATTCCAATGATTACCCTCTGAGAAACTAACATAACTATTGAAAATGGCCATTTATAGGGAGTTTTCCCATTAAAAATGGTGATTTTCCATAGTGATGTTAGTTTACCGATGATTATGTTCCGTGCTTTCTGTGAAGTCATCTAACAACTCGATGTGATAAACCCAATCGTGTGATAGACCCGAAACCACAAACACCGGTGCGATTTCTCCCAGGCACCTCTGGGTCAAAATGGTTTCCTTTCTTTTCCCACAAAATCATCTTTATTGTGTAACAACATTTACCATGGGATAAATGTTCGCATAGATGTGGAAAAGCTATGATGTCCCGTTTGGAAAATCATCTACAAACAGTGGATTTGCCACATGTAAACCTTTACCCCACACTATATACACTTAATGTGCTTAGATCCATGGTTTATCCCATGCCAATGCGCATCCCAGGGATGGGAGCTCTGCAGCCTGCAGCCCTTCTGGCTGCTCTATGGGTGGCCTTTCAGGTGCGAGTTCTCCCACGAAAAATGAGGAGTAGAAATACTGCAATACACATTTCTACTCTATGGTTTGAAGGGGGGATAATTAACAATAAGGTTCATTATATCCCAGTGTGTCCCAGTATATCCCATAAACCATCTAAGGAGGAGTTATGAACTAAATGGGGATAACTGGATGAGTTAGTAACGGGATATCATGGACTCTAGTTGTGGGTAACTTAGTAGTAACCCAATGCCAAAAAAAAACTACGATTTGGGGATGGCTGATAAAACCGCCCATAAAAATTGTGATGACTTGTGGTTTATGGCATTGGGTAGGCACCACATTGTAGCTGTTCTTCGCCAGTCATCGATCCAAATGTTGGGTGCTATCATTTCATCATATTTCTTCAGCCAGGACGAACAGACGACCAGTCCCAAAAGTTCGTGACTCATCCCATATACTGGTTGAAAGGCGGCTTCCAAATCTGATTAGAAAATTCGTTCAGCTGAATTGGTGGATATACCTCTTTTATGTCCCGATCAGCAATATCCTTGGTGACATCCGAAAATGTTCTTTCACTCATACTTCTTCAAATTCAATTGATATTTTGATATATCCGAATTTGGCCATAACCCCTATTCCAACTGTTGATTGCTTGTTGGTAAAACCGGGGATTGAGTTAGGAGTTTAGCCCGCAGCTATAGGCTGCACCCGCAGAGCCCGTTCTGGAGCCGGTTCTGGTGCCGGAAGCGCCCGCGATCGCGCCGGCTATCGCGCCCGTGATGCCAAGCGTTGAAGAGGCACTTCCTCTGGTAATGGAACAGTTTGCTATAGAAAATGGCCTATTTCTGGATGATCTACCAATAAAAACGGGTGATTTTCCATAGCAAACTGTGAATGTTATATGGTGGTTCTACTGTTATACTATCCAATATATTGGATTATGAAATCTATGAACTGGGAATATGGTTCTTAACCGAGCGACGTCAAGAAATGATAAAGAGTTTTGACGTTGCTGAATTGTCCGCACTACTTGGGGCTGCAGGACTGGGGTGATTTTTTTGTGGGTATGATCATGATTATACCACGCAAATCAGTGATCACGATTATACCACGCAAAGCAGTGGAACTGCACCCCCAAGTGGAGTAAGTGGAGCAATTTGCAAAAGATAGAAATGGTGACATTTACCATGCTATTTTTGCAGGATGTTGTTTGTGTATTATTCTGTTTGGGGGGTGCAATAGGTATGGGCAAAGATTTGTTTATTGAAATGTTGAGCATTGAGTAGCCATGATTTGTGACATGATTTGAGGCATTATAGATTTTTTTGATGATTTCGTGAGAAATATATAAGAAAAGAGCAGGGGTATAACAGTATAACCAACAATAAATGGGGTAGAGCAGAAACAAGCCTGGTTGTTGGTTTCATTGATTGGTTTCAGCCACCACCAGATATGATGGATTTGCCACCAATGAAAGGAATGTAACCAGAAATTGTATTTTTTGTTGTGGAGAAATACTAATTGGTTAAGTTGGGACTCTCATAGTCCAACATAGGGTCCGCAGCAATTGGCACCCAAAAGATTGTGGGCCACAAAATGTGCATGCGCCAAGTCCAAAAACGGATCACAGCAATGACTTGAGCAACCAAGACTGGCAGTGGAATTCACAAAATGAGGATATGTTTGCAATGGAATCATTTGTCCAATGTTTGCAGTCACCAACTGCCGATTCAAAGTGACTGAAATTTCAAAATCGATGCGTAGACCTGACCTAGCCCATAATGGCTAAAATTGCCATGGTGGAAAATTGGCAGTACAGTCAGGACTATCCAATTTGAATTTGAGGTATCCCAGAGATCACTTGCAGGACAGCTCCCAAATTGATGCTTGACGTTTTTGGGTCAGTGGTTTCTTAGGAAGAGAGACAGCTTCGCCACGAAGAGGAGGACGGCGCCATCGAAAAAGCCCATAGGGCTTTTCGGCCAAAGTTGGAGAATGATAGGGGATGTACCCTCTGGTAATACAAACATAGCTGTTGAAAATCACCATTTTTAATGGGAAAACTCACTATTAATGGACATTTTCAATAGCTTTTTGTATGTTTACCAGAGATGTAGCCCAAATTGAAATATTGGATGTTTCTTTGGGATGAACCCATCATCCAGTCGTCATGTATGACACTGACCATGACTTAGAAACTTGAAACATAGGGGGCCACTGGGGATCCCCCGTGACTTCGGAAACCTCCATATTTGGGGATGGTTCTATCTCTCCATGGCTTGACCATGTACCAGATATATGTGGATGGGTCACCTCTATCAGTGGGAGGTTGAACAACAAAATATCATTGTTTCAGTTGTGAAATAGCCTTCTCACAAAATGGCACCCCAAAATTTTCATGGTTTATCCGCATTTGTCTTATTGAAATAGTCATATAATCCCCATTAATGCCATTGGTCATCACCATTCATCACCACTAATCACCATATAATCACCATTAATCACCACTAATCACCATATAATCACCATTACTCACCACTAATCGCCATATAATCACCATTAATCACCATTCAATCACCATTTTTAGATGTTCGATGCCTCGATGTTCCGAAAGGAGCTGCATCAGCAGCATTTGGAGCTCTTGGATCGCTTGGGCCGTTTGCAAGCCGAAGCGATGACCAGCCACGATGAAGAGGCGATGGGAGAAATTGAACGAAGGGTTGTTGGGATATGGAGGTAACCATTATATGAATAAAAATACACCATCCAGCTATTGGGGGTACCCCAATCTTAGGAAACCCCCATATGAAACAAGAAACCAATAACTCCTGCAGGATTGATTAGGAGGATACAACTATCGTTACAGGCGATTATGTAAAATTAAAATAAACTAAACATACCAGTGGTACAGCACAAGGCGGTGGCAGAAGTTTCAAAGATAGGACACTATAGGAGAGGTGAGATGTTGTGATGCATGGATGGCGGAGCGAATCCACTGATGGACCGAAAGGTGGTTGGAGTTGTGTTTTTTTGGAGTGGTTGCAATGGCTGCAGTGGTCACCTCACCCACAACTGCTGCACGTAGTGTGATGTAGTGCAGCTGTAGTTCTAATTGTAGTGTAGTGTAGTGTAATTAGTCTGGTGCAGTTGCAGTTGTACTTGTGGTGTGGTGTAATGAGTGTAGTGCAATGTAATGTAGTGTAGTGTAGTGTACTGTGCTGTAGTGTAGTCTAGTGTGGTGTGGTGTAGTGGAGTGTAGTGCAGTGTAGTGTAGTGTAGTGTAATGTAGTGTAGTTGTCGCTGTAGTTGTTGTGTAGTGCAATATAGTGTAGTGCAGTGTAATGTAATTAGTGTAGTCTAATGTATGTGGTGTAGTGTAGCGTAATATAGTGCAGTTGTAGTTGTAGATGTAGTTAAAGTGTATGTAGTGTAACTAGTGTAGGGTAGTGTAATGTAGTGTAGTTGTAGTTGTAGTTAGTGCAGTGGAGTGGAGTGGAGTGGAGTGTAGTGTAGTGTAATGTAATTAGTGTAGTGTAGTGTAATGTAGTTGTAGTTGTAGTTGTAGTGTAGTGGAGTGGTTGTAGCTGAAACTGCTACAGAACCTTCACGTTTTGCTCACTTTTGACGAGGCGCACAATCCCTTGCGCCGGCCACGCGAAACGAAATCTGAATTCAAAAGTGCTCCGAACCCGTCAGTTTTTTCCACTTTTGACTTGGAAATATGGTTTGCACCACAACGGCGTACACTTTTTCGACATCTCAACTTGAAAAAGTGCTCCGAACCCCTCAGTTTTTTCCACTTTTAACTTGGAAATGTGCTTTGCGCCACACCGGCGTGCAGTTTTTCGACATCTCCACTTCCAAAAGTGGTCCGAACATGGTGTGCTTTGTACATTTTGACTTGGGAATGTGCTTCGCGCTTTTTCGACATCACAACTTCCAAAAGTGTTCCGAACGTGCGGTGTTTTTAGCTTTTTCACTTGCGAATGTGATTCACGCCACAATGGCGTGCAATTCTTTATCTCTCATCTGGCCACATGGCTCCGCACCCGCCGCTTTAGCAAGCCTACTTTTCGACCCTCCGGAGCCACAAATCTTTGGAAAAACAGAATGAATCGCGACTTTCCTACCTTTTCGCGCACCTGGATCTTCTTTCTTCTGAATTTCTCTTCTTTGATCTTCTTTCTTCTTCTCTTCTCTTCTCTGACTCTTCCCATCTCCGCTTTTCATCTGTCCATATTGTCGGAAGTTTGACTTTTAAATTTCCTTCGATCATGAATTGACAGTGACCCATGGGGAGAAACAAAAATGACGTTGCGGGGATACTACAATGTTTAAACGATGGAGATTTTCTCAAGAGGCATGGGAACATTCGGCGCCAAATTTTTCAAGATTGGGATTTAACCATCAAAGATGGTGGTTTAATGAGGATATAATAGAATATGAATGGAATATTCTTGGAATACTGGTGGAGCATTGATGGAGGATTAATGGAGTATTGATGGAATATCAGGCGACGGAATATTGATGAAATATTAATGGAATTTTCCTGGAATATTGGTGGTTTACCCTTTGGTATTTTAACATAGCTATGGTGTAGATGGCCCATGAAGTTTGATGATTTGCCAACGTTGGTGATGTTCCGCATCCCGGCAGCAAAAGGGGCCTACAATGGGCACGGTTTGTCGAAGCAATAAGTAGTTGATATGAAATGATCGGGATATCAGCCATGGATCTACCATTTGTGCACCCATTTTTGTGGTGAAGATTCACGCTGATTCATAGTCATATATTCACCAATCCTATGGAATGATATTAACAAAACCATTTGACCCGGGCCTGCACGTCAATGATATTAGTATATATATATAAGCATTTACATAATATGTCAACCCTATGATATCCCCCTTTTTTATTCGCTAGATCTTCAATGATCTTCAAGCCTCAGGTCTTGCGGGGCCGCTTCGCAGAAGTCACGGGTGAACTGCAGGAGAGCTCCATTGATGATTTGGGGGAAGTTGGTGGCCACAAATTTCAGTTTTGTGAAATAGTATCACCCAGATCATGGTGAAATATGTGGGGGACTGTGACAGTGGTGATTTTCACGGATTTTTTTGGGATGATGAGAGTACGAATGGAAAAAATTGTGATTTTATAATTTATAATTTGTATAAGTTAAATAGTTTTCCCCTATAACTATGGTGAATATAACCACTTATTAGTGGAACTGCACCCCAAGTATGCCGACAAATTATGACACATAGAAATTTGTAACTCTGGTTGGCAAAAGCATGCTGTTCTAATGTTATTGTTCTACCGTGTATTCTCCAAAAATAAAGACAGATGTGTGTGTGTGTGTAGTTGCGTTTCTTCCCAAATATGCAGCAGTGAGAATGCCAGCATCTTATACAAAGGCTGTTTCGGAGGTTCCCACTCATCGGGGCACTCGTGCAGGAGCTTTCTTTGCGTCAACAGAGTCAGGAGCACCGCTCCAGGGTCAATTCTCCTGGATCCTGGTTGAGTGGACTATAGTGGACTTAGCTGATTGTTTAGCCAATTTTGGACGCTCAGCTGTGCTGTCCAAAAATGAAGATTTCCGAATATCAGAGTTTTAGTCATGTTGACAATGAGGGTTGAAAACGATGATTGACACTACGATTCATGCCAATGATCACCTTTTTGTTTCGCAGCCTGCATTCTTTCACAATGTGCCCCAGATATGTCTTATCTGTTTTTTGTAGTAATCACCAGCGGATATGATAGAATAATGAGAGAATATACGAATGTTCTACTCCAGGATGACTATAATACAGTATATGTATCATCAGCCCGAGGAGCATCCCGGGCGCGACAGGGTTTGAGGGTTCATGCCCCCTTGAATAGAGCCTCTTTTTTTTCGCGGTTAACCTTTAGTCTTGAGATTTCCATGACGGTTTTTTTTGTTAAGTGATATCCCCATGTTCCGATCTTTCGCTCCATTTTCCATGTTCAAAGCCAAGTGTTTACCATGGACGCAAATTGTCATTCTACTGTAGTGTCATTCTAGAGCCGCAAACCATTCATTTTAGGGGTTGATGGTTTTGACCCATTCCGATTTTTACCAGAAAATATGGGCCAATGGGTCCCTTAGGAGCAGCGAGCCTGGAAACATCGTCCCTGGGCGTCAAAACTGGTGGACCACGAGCCTGGACCCATGACATCGACTGGATGAGGAAATAATGAATTTGTGTGATGTCAATAGGAATATCTATTGACCCAGCTAAGCATTTAATTGTTCTAAAATTCTATCCACACGGTATTGGATATATTGGATCCCATTCAACAATCTTAACATCGTTAATTTTACACCCACATAACTTTGTGGTTTCCCATCAAAACTGCGTTTATAAAATCGGGTATCAAGCCCCCAAATATCTCCAAATATCATATGTGCACCCATTGTGAGTTTATTATACTATATAGGCTATAGGCTATAGCCACAATTTACTATACTATATAGGCTATAGCCACCACATTGCTGGTTGGATGATGCTATGATATATCTATGTACAAGAATATGGGTGTGCCTCTGTATATATTTACATGGTATCTATACATGATAATGTATACAATAACATTGATTAATTGATTACACGTTACATTTTTCCCATAGATCCTGTCAGATACCATGAACCCCACAACAGTGCCGTTTCGTCCATCGCAGGTGTCCGTCGGCATCGCAGCTCCTGGCCGGTGCGCACGGCACTCGAGATGGAGGACAGGGAAATCCTCACAGATAGATAGATTAGATTAGATTAGATTAGATTAGATTAGATAGACAGACAGACAGATAGATAGATAGATAGATTATATATTATATTATATATATATATATATATATATTGTACATTATCTATATACAGTAATCCTGAAGTAGAGAGAATGTGGGATTTTCAATAATATCACCAGTGATGTTCTTTTGAAACGTCCATATTCTATCTAACTCCAGGATGACTATACATATATACATATACATATACATATGTGTATGTATATGTGTGTATGTGTGAGTACTTTTTTTCCAATTGATATCACTGAGGATATATGTTTCTCTCGGGGGTATGGTCGTAAATTGTCATGGCCATCAAATAAGAGGAAATTTCAAGAGTTTTTTTGCGACAGAAACGTTGAGACAGCCCCTTGAATCAAGGGAGACACCTGAAATCCAGGTAACTTACTGATGGGAAATGATATGAAAATGATCCATGGAAATGCTTTCAGATTTCTGGGTTATACCACTGGGGTACCATGGCGGACGGCTTGGGAGGACCACTTGAGCCGAGCGCATGACATCTTCAACTTTTGGTTCTTCGAGGTGAACCCAGAAACCAAAGCGAAACCGCTGATGTGGCAACTTCCAGGAAAGTCCTCCAAGTTCCAAACTGTCTTGAATTTGCATGGAATTTGGGGTCATAATGCTGGCGAATCAGCCCAGCTGTTTGCGATTTTCCCTCAGTGAAACATGCGAAGCTTGGTGAATTTGTTTAAAAGCACTGATGGGGATACGGCTACCCTGCGCATGTGGATTTGAGGTGGGCGCATTGGTAATCCAACAAGAGATGTCCATGTTTGGGATCCACAATGAGAATCCCGATTTTTTCTCACACGGAGGACATTCACTCCCGTAAAATTTCAGGAGTATGCCCATTGATAAACCACAAGTTGTGGATGGCACTTCCCAACGAAAACGCCAGATGCGGGATCGCCTTCATTCCACCTTACGGGGCTTCCGGACGATGGAAAAGGCTTTGCAGCCGATCCCTGAGGCCTCTTCGCCTGATGGGTGCATTTTTGGGGGCAAAAGCCTTGTACCCTGAACACCATAGCTCGTAAATGGATGGTTTGAACTATATGTATTGATCCATATTAATCAGCATTACAGGATCTGCCACTGTGTGCAACCGCAATCTGTTTGGTAATGTTTGCATGCATTTTTTCTAGGTCAACCAACTGGATGGGCAGTTTAATCCTTTAATTTTGCGATTTCAACAGCAATATCTACAAAGAAACATGTTTTTTGCAGGGTATCTAAGATTGGCAGCGTTTCATGAACTTGGATATCTGTTTCTTTTCAGAAACAAATGCCGGGGGATCCCCCAGTGGATCCCCCATTTTTGGAAAGGAACATCATCTATGGCCATGTTTTTCGGTAATTTCCTAAAGATGAGGACCGTTCCGTGGACGCGGCTCTGCCCAGCGCTTCCGCCGAGCCTGAGCCGATCGTTCGAGGCACCATTGATAGATTGTCCCATTGGCATCAATAATTGAGATTTATGAATGTTATAAATTAATGGGTAATAATGGTTAAAAGTAGTTCATAATGTCTAATAGTGGTGAAAAATGGCTAGTGGTGATGAATGGTGATGAATAATGGTGATTACTGTGGTCCCAATGCCATAAACCATCCCATTCACCATTTGGGTGTCAATTTAGATTATCCCAAATAGCCGCTCATTAAATGTTTGCTGCCATAGAATGATACTATGCCCAATTCTCAAACATGCCCATTGGGTAGGTTTTCAGTGATTAATTCGCCATTTTTGGAAGCGAGTACACTTATCCCGCTAGAATTTGATTTCTTAGATGACCTCATTTTGGTCTGCAATCCCCAATTTCTGGCAATGAAACCGTGGTGAGGCTTCAAACCATTGGATTGTTTGGCGAAGTGCACGGCTACACTGATCCGCCTGTGTACCGAAATTGGGACCCTTCCCATCATTCAGTAGGTGATTCTGCATCCAGTTCTGGGAAGCTAAATAGAAAATATATATATATACATACATACATACACACACATACATACATACATACATACATACACACACACACATACATACATACATACATACATACATACATACATACATACATATAGAGAGAGAGAGGGAGAGGGAGAGAGTATACATACAGTATGTAATACATGTTCATAGTATTTGCAGTACTTCAGCTCTAATGATTTCTCTCCAGGGGAACGATGGATCCCGGAATGGCACAGCGCCAGGTGTGCGATATGAGAAATTCATGTCCTGAGCCACGACATCGGTGACATCGGTGACATCGGTGCCATCGGTGACAGCGACATCGGCGATGTTTTGTGTCGAAGCTTTTGTTTTGGACCTGTTTCTTCACTGAGATTTGCCTATCAACAGTATCCGATAGTATCCATCTGGTATTTCTTTCTTGTTTCTCCGCTTCTGATGGAAACTAGGCGTTATGCAAATCCTCAATGGGATTCGTATCTGTCGAAGTTGGTTGATGTTTTGTTGCGGCCATCGAATTGGCAGTATCAAATGGTCCGAGCATGAAGTCGTGCCTAACTTTGGAAAGAAAGAAGTCTATGGAAGTTTCAGGCTGAATCTTGCAATATTGTTAAGATAATCAGATATCTCTATGTGCAGTCCAATTAATGCAGCTCTGGCTTGGCAAATGGCGCCAGATGCACATGCTGAAGGGTGTAGAAATCACAATCTTGTGCACTTTCTGACGCGCAAGCGGGGATGTGAACAGGCTGTGTTCTCGCTGCGTCGTTCAGGTTGAGCTTGGAGAGTTTGGATCCACCATACCTCAACTAACAAAGAGATTTCTGACAGTAAAAACGTAGATATGAAGCATGAAATTGGTTGCTTTCAAACATGTTGAAGAGTTCTTGCAATTGACAGACATGATCAGATATGATCAGGTCGATGGTTTTGATGATTTCAATCAGACATGGGGAACCTTCCTGGCATTTCCTGGCGTTTTTCAGATCAAAACAGCTACAAAGTTAGCTGGGCACATCCGCGTTGACACAGCCCAGAGATGGTTTTTTTCAGGGGCTGAGTTTATTGAGTTTCCCTTTCAGTTTCAAGAAGTTTCAAGATAGACTGAGATGCTTCTCTTGACCTTTCATGATTTGATCTTTTTCCCAACCGAAAATGCAGCAAACACATGGCAAACGCATAGCAAAATGATCAAAATGCTTAAAGCCACCTGGTATGGCTGGTAGCCATTTTTCTGAGATGATGGTCCACGATGACGTGTCAGACTCGACCTCAGCACCGGGAGGCTGAGGGGAAGTAAAAATAGATAAAACCCGACTGAATGCTACCAGAGTTTATCATTTTTATCCAGAAAAATCTGGATAGCGAAAAATTACTCAAAAATGGTGTGAAAATTATCAGGATATAGCCCAACTAGTTTGGTAGTTCCAATATTTATAGCGGTTCCCTCTATCTTTTTTTTGGCTGAAGCCTTGGTGAATACTGGTGGATAGGTGACAGGAGCCCATCTAGAGATGTCAACGCCACAGGGTAATCCTTTTCCCTATCATATTAAATAAATTTAAATAACCCCTAAACGAAGCCCTTGTTGAATGAATTGATCATCTTTTGGTCCCGAATATTGCGACGTAATGTGACGAACCAAATTGTACTTACCCAATCATGAACTATTGGGGGTGTGAAAAAATCCTCCCAAAAAAGAAGCTTGTGGCTTTGGGTTGCACCCTCCCCAAGTTTTACTGACATCACACTTATTGGGTCAAATCCATATATTTAAATCGTTTAAGATTTAAATCGCCACATTGGGTAAACACCCACAGTCTTAACAATGTGGGGCCCCCCAGTTATAAGATGGTTTACAAGCCCCATTAACTATAGTTATAGGTACCACAAACCATAGTTATTGGAGTTATAAACCAACTTAGCTATCTAGGGGGCCCCACTTTGAAAGAGTTCCCTGCCCAGGAATGACTTTGAGTTCGGTCCCCAACTGGGCCGTGGAAGCTTTGGCGTTCCCTAGCTGCAGAGCGATGGGAAAACGTCACAGGAATCACGTTACCGCCCCATATTGGGGTTTGTCTCGATGGCCCAAAAATTGCAGCTTGGGGAAAATGCTGATGAACCAATAACCGGGGTGTATCCCATGCATAATGCAAGTGGATATTTGGATATTTCATCAGTTCTTACTTAGCCAGTGAGAGATCCCAGTAGTTTGACATGGTTTGATCCTTGAGGGGCCTCTTAAAGGCCAGAGATGGTCACTATCTCAACTCTTGCTGAATTAGACATGGGCTCGGGGAGCTTCTCTCGGCAGGTGGTTTTCCAAGTGCGGCGGAAAGAGGATGGCGTCACTTGCGTCGGGTCCCAGGCATGGTAAATTTCTCAGCCTTATGAGATTCGGGGATATTCGGGGTACCTTATGTTCTACAGCAATGACATGGGGCGGCCCCTTTAAGGATGATGTCCAGGCAAGACCCACTGTTCCAAGTATGGCAAGGTTCTGGCACTTAACATCCCCACTGAAGGTGTTGTGACGTTGAACAAGAGCTGGTGATGTCACCAGATCGACACCAAAGAGACCACAGATGCGAAGACTCAGATCAGAAACGGTCATCTAAGGCTATTGTGTGATCGTCACATGTGGGTCCAAAATGGTCCAAATCCAGTAATCCCACGACACCAGCTGCAGCAACTCTTCAGTTGAAGTTTGGAGTCAGGACCCGAAGTTGACCTTTGAACTTCGTTGTTTGGACGTGGGGAATTTCGCATCCCTCGAAGTATGACTTTGTGGCCCTTGTTCGATGCCGCCATTGGATGTTCCAATTGGTGTGTCGTAATCCCACCATTGGAACCGCTGTTGGAATTGTATGTAATGTGATCCAATTATTAGCTATCCCGAATATCACCATGAAATACCATGAATATAAACCATGAACCATCCCTAATTTGGAGGTTTACTATTGGGCTTAGCAGATTACTACCAGTCATATGCCTATTATATTCATTTTCATTTGCATTTCATATTTCATATGCATGTTAATAGTCCTATGCATATTAATATTTCATGTTTCATGATTCATATTTATATTGCTATTCATATTCATTCGCATGTTCATATTGCACAATCCTATTCATATTAATATTTAATATGTCATAATTCACATGAATATTCATATTCATATTCCTATGTATATACATCATTATCAGATGTCCTGCATCCTTCCGATTTGAAAATGGTACATCTTTATTCGACTCCATTGAGGTCTGCAAACAGATCGCTCTCAATGAGATGAACCGCAAGGCTCGCCTGGAAGCTCATCGTGAGGCCTGCGGCACCGCTACTTGTGGCTTGGTCCACCAACCGAGACCTGGAAATTGTTATATCTTCGTCCACTGGATAGACCTTAGGTAGAAACGAATCCAATTGAGTTTTTGGCAGACGGAAAATCACCCAGAAATTTGTTTTGAAAGAGACTTGGTCGAGGTCGAGGTCGAGGTCGGAGGTTTCGATTCGATAGAATCCCTCGGAGTTCCTGTTTGTTAGCATGGAAGAAACAGTCACTCCGTGGGTGGTTATCAGGGATCCAAGGTACGTCTCTGAAACGGGCTCCCAACAACATTGGTGCACTTAGAACATTGAGGCACAGTTTGTTGAACAACGAGAGAAATAAACTAGTGTCGAATTCGGGGGTGGGGGGGGAAGCAATAAAGTGTTAAACCAATGGTAAGCCTTCCTATTTTGCCACAGACTTGGTCCATGTAGCTGAAGATGGTTAAAGGCACGAAATAATCCAGCAATTTTTGTGGTTTGCAAGACATGGTGATGGGTCGAATGACAGAAGCCGCTCATTTTAGAACGGAAACCAGCTCATTTTGAAACGCAGTTTCCTCGATGGTGTCTAAGGTTCCTAAGGTTTCCCTAGTTTCTATGGTTTCCATGGTTTCTGAGGTTTCCATGGTGTCCAAGGTTTTCATGGTTTCTAAGGTTTCTAAGGCGTCGAAGCCTTTCATGCTTTCTATGGTGTCTAAGGTTTCCAAAGATTCGAAGGTTTCTATGGTCTCTAAGGTTTCTATGCACCTGTCTCTTTCTTCGCAATGCAGATGGACGAAATCGCACTTGTGTTTGTGTTCCAAATGATCCCCTTTTCGTGTTGCAAATTGAGCCCTCTGCCTCGAAGGACTGGCTCAAAAAATGATGGTTCAATCAGAAATCATGAAGTCTTGCCAATTTTTCTGTGTCCACAAAAAAAAACCTTGATGACTTTGACTCACCAATCGTTGGCAGGTTGAGCTACTTCGCAAAGTCTCCAGCGGCTGCAGCATTTGGGACAGAAAAAATGGTTGTTGAATGGGTCAAAACCCTGTGGCCTGGTTTTTACATCAAAATAGCTGGGATTTATGGAGGTTTATCTCCGTAGAAATGGTACTTGTATTAAAGATATTGACATTGATCCATAGCCAAAGGGCCAAAGGGTGAATAGTTGTGTATTCCACCAATAACCACCAAGGACCTATTTACCCTTTGTTATTGGGATGTCATCGTGGGTTGAATCGACTGAGGCTTCATCGTCCAATACCTCGGCTCCTTCCTGGACCGTCCAATGGGATGGGCGGACCTTCAAAGGGAAAATGACAACCCCATGATTTTCCAGAAGGCTTCCCATGAAATTATCGGTTTCACACTGAGACTGGACCAAAGTCAAAATATAGAGTGACATGATATGCTATGGAAAGGCCTGTTGGATATTTCGGGTGGGAATTTGGGGACTTTCTGTAGATTTTCCCTTGAACCAATTTTGGGATTGTTTGAATCTGGCACAAACTTCCGCAGGAAGGCGATTCCCTCCACATCATCATGGAATTCTGTGAGAGAGGCAGAAAGGGTGCAGTTGCCGCTTCTGCTTCTGCAGTCTGGACATGCAGGTGACCTGAGCCAACACTTGAGGAGCTGTCATCGGGGTCTGGAGGAGCGTCAATGCTTTGGATGTTTTCCAGGGAATTTTGACCTGCCATATCCACCATATCCATTGCTGTACTGAAGTTCCATGATCACATCCATCTATCTGTGGTCAGGAGCGCACTGTCTGGAGATATTTGCTGCAGATTGGCTCCGGTCTGCTTTGGCGACACCAAAACAGGAGTGGGACACCAGCATAAGCAGAAGCAACTGTACAAATATACTTGTGTATTTTATTTTGTCCATTTACGTGCATGTACCTTCGTAGAACTTGTAAAACATGCAGGACATATGTATGATATAATACAATGTAACTCTGTGTGTGTGTGTGCATACAAGCTTCTTCCTGAAGCACAAGCCCAGGATCCTTCATCGAGACATCAAGGCTGCAGCATTTGTCCCAACAGAAATCATGGATGGACCTGGCAATTGGCTAGTTTTCCCCATCAAACATGGAGATTTTAATGGGAAAATCCTCCATAAATTGAAGTTTTGATGGGAGAATCAGCTATACATGGGCGGATTTTCCATTGCCAGGATACCTTGAAAATCCTTGGTCAACGCATGTCAAGATCTTAATTTTGCAATGCTATTGAGTATTCTTAGGATCCTGAGAAATGGGACCGGCTATACCACCAGGAGTGAATTATGCCATTCTTTTGCCAAGTGAATGGAAAGCCGATTTTTCGCCTGCAATCCATGCCATGCCCATTTCTTTATCCATGTCAACGTCACCGCAGACGTTGAACGTCTTCCTGAAGACCAACGATGACGTGCGTCTGGGCGATTTGGGTGTGCCGCCGGCCAACTTGCGTTTCGAGGTACAGGATAGATATGAAAAGGGCATCCGAGTGATGCGTTTTCTGACACGAAACCCACACCAAGCAGTTTGGAGGTATTAGTGTTGGTGCTCGACACTTTTCAATGTAAAGATACAGCTATCGTATGACATTTCAATTCTCTACATCTGCAAGGAAGAAACTGCCAAAAGCATTAGAAAAAAGACGAATTTCCCAGATATTTTTCTGTACCCAACTTTTTGGAGTGGCTTAAAGCCAGGTGGCCCGCGTTCTCAGCAACACCAACTTTGCCAGTACCTTTGCCCCTGATCTCAGAGCGGCATTGAATTCGATTATGTTCTCTCCAAAAAGCAGCCAAGAATCGCATCAAGATGGAATTTGGCAATCGCAGGTTGGAACACCCTACTACCTGTCGCCGGAGATTTGCGAAGAAAAGCCCTACAACGAGCTCAGTGATGTTCGGGTGCCCAGGGTATCCCTTCGCGCCGGGATGCCACGGCATGCCACGGCATGCCACGGCAGCCACCCTGGTGCACCAACGAAAATAGGATATGATAGTGGTTCTACAATACCCATTTCCAACGATGTAAAATTCATATGTTCCTTCTTTACTATCACACCGATCATAGTGAAATACCCTAGAAACCATGATTTATCGGATCGATTCATGCGTTGGTACACCATTCTTGGTGAGGTCTGGGCCTTTGGCTGCGTGGTCTATGAGATGTGCACCTTGAGGCGGATCTTCTGGTGACTGGCGGTGATATTCAGACGTTTTACAAGCGCAGATCTGAGACATGAAGAAAACCTGCTGAAGGTAGAGGACCCTTGATGCATGATGCTCCCACCTGTTTGGTTCCCCCTAAGTTCAGCTATCGCCTCCTTGCATTGTTTTTTGGTGAAGTTTGCTGTAATTTGATGGGCTGTGTTTTGCAAGAGAAGCTTTGGCTCAATTTGGCTCACATGGTTTTTGCTATCTGAGATCATAGAATATCATAGATCAACCATGGTTTATGGTGGACTACATCCGCCATTTTTGGATGCCTTCACCCCAAAAGGCGGCAGCGTCCAGGCATCCGTTTGAAGCCAAGAATCAGGCGGCACTTCTCATCAAGATCCTTCGCGGGCAGCTACTTGGGGTGAAATCAGTAGGATAGCGCAGAGCATCGTATTTGAAGCAACTAGGATCTGCTTGGCAATAATTGAGAAAAACAGACCGACCAACCATGACATGATGCATATGTTTCCAACAAGCGAGGGGTACATCATAAACAATCTATGTTGAATGTAACGAATGAGAAGAGTGGGATTATCATAAAGCTACTTGGCATTCAGAACGGGGCTCCACTTTTGGGGAGCCGGTGATGTGGATGGTTTGAAGTGCAAGTGCCCAATCTGAAAGAGTTAAGCTGATTGTACACCCACAGCAATGGGCAAATCGAGTTGCAAGAAAACCTTTGCAGAGACAATGTTTATTCATCGGATAGGTGAGGATGGTCAGCAGGTTGTATGTTTGTATGACCTGTCTGCTGGGGATGTGAAGTGCACAACTTGAAGCTCCTAAAATTGACGCTTTCCCTGACGGCTTGCAACCACAAGAGTAATGACTGGATGTGTTGCTGTCTAGCTTCTGTCCCATCCAACCTAGGTTTGCTCCCATTGACACCAAGTATTCAGAGGAGCTTGGAGATTCATGACTTGTGTCCCAGCCAAACCCAGAGGATTTTACTCAGCATGCCATTTCCAGGGAGGGCTGGTGGTAATCAGAGTCGGCTGTGGGCATGGATACCTCTTGCGCTGATGTTGAATGGCTCGGAAAACCTTGCAAGTTGCAACAGTGTTGCACCACTCCAAGTACGTTCATCAACCAGGTTCACAAGTGCAGAGTCGACATATGTCGACATGAAGAAAACTACTGAAAACTTCAACAGTGGTGGCATTTTTGGATCTTGTTGATTGCATCGCAATGGCTTCAGAATGTTCAGAGGACCTGCGTGAGTTGATCGATGGATGCATGCAAAGAGAGCCGATAGCTCAGCTCTCGAGATCTGGGCATTGGTGCCAGGTCTTGATCATTCCCATGAATTTCATACAGAAAAGTGCTAAAACCCAATGCTAGCAATCGACTGAAGTAAACAAAAAGGAACAAAAAGGCAATCAAATGTCCAAGTTTCGATGCATTGAAACTATTGAAACTTTACTCGGCAGAATTTGACCCCAGCCGAGGTTGGTAAAGAGAACCAAACTCACAGAGCTTTTGGCAAAACCCATCTCGAGGCCAGCATGGCCCATCTGTGGCTGGAAATGGGACTACGACGAAAAGGAATGTGGTGCAAAACCAAACACAATCGCCGATTGACTTTTTCGCCCAAAAAACTATGGGATGGCTGGTGGAGGAACTTCTGGGGTAGTCCAGGTTCGGAAGGATCCTTTTCCTTGTCCAAAATTGTGATCCAGGAGCTGGGCCGCTCGGATGGAGATTCCCTTGCAGGCAGGAGATGTCGTGGATTGTCGTGGATTTTCTATTTGGAGAAGGCTCCAGTGGCAGTACTTTTGGAGACCTCTGTGTTTTCTCGCACGAAACGGCCCTTCTTTTCCACGGACCCCCACGAGGTCTGCGAAAGGGTGTTGCCGCAAATTATTGTGAAACGAGCCATGAAGCAAGTGTCGTACGCGTGGCAAGGGGCCACACCTGGTGCACCATCCATTCCTGCAAGGCGGTTAGAACCCCGGATGAAACATGTGGTAAAACCGTGGGAAAATTGAGGTATCTTGTGTCATCATGGGCGAACGTTAGGTTCTGTGGGTAACTTTCAAGACTCTGCCAGTGACTATGCAACAGAGTGGAGCTTGCAATATCTTGCAATTTGTGGAGGGACGACAAGGTCAGGTTGAACGAATTCTCCACGATCAGTACTTGACCGTGGAGGAATGTGGAGGATACATTTGAGTGCTACCCCCTCTGATGTTTGAACGAGCACAGCAGGGACTGGATGTGGCTTTGGGTGACTTGCAGTGCAGTACATCAAGTTCGTGTTTCACAAGTCCATCCCTTCATGGACGGTTGATCGCCGGGGGCTTCATGCGTGTGGTTGTTTTTCATGCGTATCGCAAAGACGTTCTGGAAATTCACGGCACAAAATTGTAAATTGTTGAGCCAGAAGCTCTACATGGACCACAACTGTCAGCAGGAAGTGAAGTCTTCCGCGCCCAGAAGAGAGAAGAGGTGGCCCCAGGGAGACTACAAGCCCTTCCTATGATGGAGCTAAATGTTTAAACGAAACCCGGTGAGGTAGAGAGTTTGGGTACAGGGATTTCAAAACATGTTTGTACTAAGAAGAATCGACTTCCAATCTACCACTTCTCTACCAAGGGTTACAGCTGTTACCAAGGAGTTGGTTTCGATTCACACACTTTGGGTGCCAGTTTTGAACACAACCTTCCTGCAGGGCCACGGCGGCTACGGGTCGAGCCGCTGCCCCAGGGATCGCTGGCTTCCCTTCGAAAACAGAGATCACATGGATGTAATGCAATGTTTACAGGCAGGCCATGATATGGGGATATGATCTAAAAGGGGATTTAAGCAACACTGGGATCGGTCCAAATTAGATTGAAATGAATACCACCAACTGCGGGTCCACTTGTGCCCCATTTTGGTCCACCCATCGGCCACCAAGCAAGATATGTCTGTCCTGTCCTTAGCTGGAGTAATGGTCCCAACTGACTATGATGGTATCTCGACAACTGTTGGAGAAGATTACCTGATGTTTCATTGGGATGCAATTAAGTATTTGCACAAGGCGGTGGCGGAAGTTTCAAGGATAGACAACTATAGGGGAGGTGAGTTGTTGTGATGCATGGATGGCAGAGCGAATCCACTGATGGATCAACAGGTGGTTGGAGTTGTGCTTTTTGGAGTGGTTGCAGTGGTCAACTCACTCACAACTGCTCGTAGTGTGGCGTAGTGTGGTGTGGTGTAGTGTAATTGCAGCTGTACTTGTAGTTGTATTTGCAGTGTAGCGCAGTGGTAGTTGTAGTTGTAGTTGTAGTTGTATTGCTGTTGTCGTTGTAGCTGTAGTGCAAGTGATAGTGTAGTTGCAGTGTTAGTTGTAGTTGTAGTTGTAGTTCTGGTGCATTTGCAGGTTAAAGTTGTGGTTGTAGTTGTAACTGTAGCTGCAGTTGTACTTGTAGTGGTAGTTGTTGTAATTGTCTGTAGTTGTAGCGCAGTTGAAGTTGGAAGCTGTAGTTGTAGCTGTAGTTGTAGTGTAGTTGAAGTTGGAAGCTGTAGTTGTAGCGTAGTTGTAGTTGTAGTATAGTTGATGTTGATGTTGATGTTGTGTTGTTGTTGTTGTTGTTTTTGTTGTTGTTGTTGTTGTTGCTGCTGTCGTTGTTGTTGTTGCAGTTGTCGTTGTAGTTATAATGTTTTGTTGTAGTGTATTGTGTGGTGCAGTGCTTTAAACATTTTCGCTTCCACATGTGCTTGGCGTCACAACGCCGTGCACGTTTTCAACATCTCAATTTCAAAAAGTGCTCCGAACCTGTTCGTTTTTAACACGTTTGACTTCGAAATGTGCTTCGCACCACAACGGCGTGCACTTTTTCATCATCTCAACCCCCAAAAGCGCTCCGAAGCTGAGGTGTTTTACCTTTTGACTTGGAAATGTGCTTCGCGCCGCAACGCCGTGCACTTTTTCGACATCGCAAATTCTAAAAGTGTTCCGAAGCCGAGGTGTTTTGTACATGTTGTCTTCGAAATGTGCTTCGCGCCACAACGGCGTGCACTTTTTCGACATCTCAGCTTCCAAAAGTGGTCCGATCCCCTGGTGTTTTTAACATTTTGACTTCGAAATGGGCTTCGCGCCACAACGGCGTGCACTTTTTCGACATCTCAACTTCCAAAAGTGGTCCGGCGCTGATGTGTTTTGTACATTTTGACTTCGAAATGTGCTTCGCGCCACAACGGCGTGCAATTTTTCATCTCTCATCTGGCCAGCTGGCTCCCTTTAGCAAGCCTACTTTTCAACCCTCCGGAGCCACAAATCATTAGAAAAACACAGTGTTTCGCGACTTTTCTACCTTTTCGCACACCTGCATCTTCTTTCTTCTGACTCTTTCTCTTCTCTGGTTTTCTCTGGTCTTCTTTCTTCTTCTCTTCTCTTCTCTGACTCTCCCACCTCTGCCTTTCATCTGTCCATACTGTCGGAAGTTTGACTTCTAAACTTCCTTCGGCCATTTCTATTATTTGTATATATGCACATGCATGCATTATGCACTCATATTTGCACTTTATGGATTCACAATGTCTGTGTATATAGATATTTGTTCATTTGATATCATATGTACATATGTATACATTTATACAAATACAGGTGTTTGTATATTTGCATACATGAAACTAGTATATTGTATGTATCTTTCTAGTTTGATTTGATCTGACTTAATCTAACCTTATCTTTGATTGTCGTTGTTTTTTATCTGTGTTCAATATCGCTACTCACGCATGTATGCATCTTATTTCATCAACATATTGGTAGTCCCAATCAATCCCTGACCGCCCAGGCCACACCTCAGATCCCCAAACATCAGCCACCGCGCACACGAGCGCCCTGGCACCAAAAATTCACGGTTTTTAGTGAAAGATCCGAAAGTAAAATGGATCATTGAGGGGTAACCCCCAGTTTTTAGGAAACCTCCATTTGATGTACATCATATGGGTTTGTCGGAAAATTCAGTGGGGAAGCCCAGAATTCCAAGAGATTACGATCATGATTCCGATCAAATATGATCATGTGGAAGGTATGCTCCATTTTCAGACACGCCCATATAGACAGGAAGGGATACATTTCACAATACCAGCACAATTAGTGAGGGGCCTAGGGCCTAGGAAGATCATGAACTTTACAAATGTGTGAATTGTGGAACTGCACATGAAAAACTGACCAAAATGATGTGGATGTACCTGGTGAACCAAATAGTCATTGCCACCCGGGAGGGTGGAAAGAAACAGAGCCATGGAAGATGTAGTGATCCCCAGCACTGCAAGTGCCTGCGACAAAGTTTCACAAGGGTCTCCGCCCAGAGTGTCACAGGGGGGGTAATTGATTTGCTATGGACCACATCTGGGCACTTTTGGGCAAAATCTTCCGAGCATCCTTTTTGCGGTAAAAGTCAGGTTCGATTGGACCCTCGAGCCAATGCGCGGCGCGAGGCGTGGGGAAATCTTGGGACAAGGGGAGGGGTTGTCAACGACTGGCCAGATCAAGACGGACTGAACTTCCCTTGCCTGTTGGGCTATTGGAAGCATGCGTTCTATTTTTGAACTTGCTGCTATTGGTTCATGAAATGCTTCAACTTAACTTGACTTCTGATTGAGGCAATTTAGGGACGACCACTCGCTTGTACACCCACTTTTCCCTCGCTTGTACACCCATGAAAATCATGACCATGATCATGATCATCATCATCATCATCATCATCATGGTCTTCATCATCATGATCTCATCCACGGTACCACCATCAGTATCATCATCATCATCATCATCATCATGATCTCATCTAGAGCACCACCATCACAATCAGCATCAGCATCAGCATCATCATCGGCATCATCATCATAATCATCATCATCATGATCTCATCCACAGCACCACCATCAGCATCAGCATCATCATTATCATCATCATCATGATCTCATCCACAGCACCACCATCAGCATCATCATCATCATCATCAGCATCAGCATCAGCATCACCATCATCATCATCATCATCATCATCCTCTTCAATAATTAAAGAAGGTTCACCTCAGTCATTCGTTCCGTGATTTTTTTGTATGGGCATCCGTTGCGTGATGCGCGCGTGTCCATCACGTCGGTGTCTGCACGAGAGCAGAAGAACGTTATTGTCCCACCCACCCCACCCCACCCGAACGGGTATCTGATCATGAAAGAGCAGTGCCGTGTCTGCAGGACAGCAAGAAAGATGATGAGGTTGCTGTGCTTATGTGCGCCCAGGAACATGAACGTTTTTGTCCCACCCCACCCCACCCCACAGCCAACAATGATGAAAGTGCAGTGACTACTTCCAGAATGAGAGATGATGAGGGTGCGCAAGTGAGTGACATTTTGCTCACTGGGTGCGCAAGTGAGTGAGGGTGCGCAAGTGAGTGAAATTTCGGGTGCGCAAGTGAGGGTCTGGCCCTTAGCAATATCTCATTTTGTGATTTGTCACATACTCTGGAAGAGAGATGCTTTGAAAGATTTCGGTTCCCATGGCCAGCCTTGCGGTTGCCCCAGGAGTCAAAGACAATATTGGTGGTCGGGACCCCGGTGACGCAACCTTGAGCCATGAAGGGCATCTAAAGATTCGCCATACTTGATGCCCCGATACACCCAGCGTTAGTGTAGGCAACCCAATACAGATTGAGATACATATTAGAACGTATTAGCATCGTTCTTTGTGGCTATGAACAGTTGGTATAGAGGGACGTTGTCCCAAATCTGGTGTCAGGCCCCCAAGGCAAAAACGGAGATCAGGCCTGGCTGCTGTGAGAAGTAAGTCCCGAGGATAATACACCGAGCTGGGAACGAAATGTAAGGGCTGTGCTTTGGTCAGGGTGATGGGATCGTGCTAGTGACTATAGTGGTTTCTCTAATTTCTAGCTACCGGAGCTTTCTTGATCTGATCCGTTTCGCCATCCTCTGAAATGATGGCCATCGTTTGAAGCCACCAAAACGACGCTTTGCAGGAGCCTCTCGAAGGGCCGGGATGCTCAGAGATGAGATCGAAAGATGAAATTCTGAAGATTTGTCAATGAAAATCAAATATCCAAAGAAGATGGCGCAGGTCAGCATCCCATCATACCCCATCACAATTTTGTGGTTTGGTGTGGGGGTTTTGAACCCTACCACCCCTACCTGAATATGTTAGGTCGTGTCTCCATACCAAATGCTTGAACTCAGAGATTTTCCGCTTTCTTCCAGTTTAGCATTAGCTACATTTGTTAAGCTAACTCAGGGATGTTTAGATAGTTACTGATAGTTGTTTAGATCTCGTATAGATCTCCACATGGAGCTCTTTTGCGGCGAGTCGGCTCATTTCGGCTCACCTCTGTCGGAGTCAGGTGACCATCGTGCCGAGGACGAGGACGGCGATCTTCTTGTGAAAAGTTACGGGAATGTCATGGGAATCATGTTGAATCATGGGTAGAAATTCTTGGTGTGTGCTTCTTTGCTACCAGTGATGAACAAGCTGAGAAGGTGTATCATACACCAAGCAAAGCTCTATGAGCAAAGGTTTGTCCAAGTAAGAGGAGGAACGTGGGTTTCAGTCCCAGCTGCTTCCTGTCATGGATCTTCAGATCTTCATTGTTCCAGACCCGGTTACCTCCAGAAGCCTTTTGCTTCTGAGAGAGCATATGCGTTTCGACAGCTCAAAATCAGTCCTCCCCAAAAGAATGACTCTTCGCACATTGCAGGCGATATCATGTGTGCTTTTTTCCCAGCATAACATAGACCCGGGCAAGCCGGCGGCGGAAGTTTCCCAAAAATAAATGACCTATAGTTCAAAGACAACCTGTCCCGACCGTGTCCTTCCCTCGACAACCGTTTTTTTTTTCAGCGAGAGACGAAGCAAAGTCTTCACACTCCACACTCCACACTTCACACTGCCCTCTTCGCACTCCAAACTTCAAACTTCACACTCCATGCACACTTCACACTTCACACTCCATGCACACTTCACACTTCACACTCCACACTTCACACTCCACACTCACACTTCACAGTCCACACTTCACACTTCTCACTTCTCACTGCTTCCTTCACACTCCAAACCTCACACTTCACACTTCACACTTCACACTTCACACTTCACACTGCGCTCTTCGCACTCCAAACTTAAAGTTCACACTCCACACTTCACACTTCACATTCCACACTTCACACTTCTCACTTCCCACTGCTTCCTTCACACTTCACACTTCACACTGCACTCTTCACGCCCCACACTTCACACTGCTCTAAACCTACGTGCAACAAAAAAACACTAGTGCCAAAATGGAGAAAATCTGCTAACAAATCCAGGTCGCAGCTTTCATGCAGCCACTCCAAGACGATTTCCGAGATCCAGCTGCAAAAGACAATAGTATTACGAATGCAGCCACAGCACGAAGCAACCTTGACGCAGCCATTACAATGCGATCTGCAGAGACTGAGTTGCAAAACACAATAGAACTACGCGCAACGGCGTCGGAAATTGTAGCTCCAAAACCGGATCTCGACGCCAGAGCGAAAAAAAGACGATTTTGAAGCACTTTTTAAAAGGATTTTTAGAAGGCAAATCACTAGCGCCAAAATGGAGAAAATCTGCTGACAAGTCGCTGTCGCAGCCTTCATGCAGCCACTCCAATACGATTTACGAAGTCCAGCTCCAAAAGACAATAGTATTCCCAATGCAGCCACAGCACGAAGCAACCTTGACACAGCCATTTACACTGCGGGAACGATCCTACAGTTGCAAAGCACAATGGAATTCCATCGGCAACTCATCCACCAGCAACACTTGCAATCCCATTTACATTGCGGGAACGATCCTAGAGTTGCAAATCACAATGGAATTCCATCTGCAACTCATCCACCAGCACCACTTGCAATCCCATTTACAGTGAGGGAACGATCCTAGAGTTGCAAATCACAATGGAATTCCATCAGCAACTCATCCACCAGCACCACTTGCAACCCCATTTACAATGCGGGAACGATCCTACAGTTGCAAATCACAATGGAATTCTGTCGACCACACATGCACGAAAAACAGTTGAAACCCCATTTACAATGCGGAACCGATCCGAGAATGATCCGCCCATGATCCGAGCATGATCCGACCACACACGAGACCGTCTCGCAACCGTCGCACCGCAGAGGTAGATCATCGAGGTTCGGGGACGGACTTTGTATGGAAAAACATAGGGTTTCGTGCATCTGCTATCTCTCAAAAACGCATTTCGTGCGAGACTTCCTCCAAAACTCCATCGGCAACTCCTCCACCAGCACCACTTGCAATCCCATTTACAGTGAGGGAACGATCCTAGAGTTGCAAATCACAATGGAATTCTATCAGCACCTCATCCACCAGCACCACTTGCAACCCCATTTACAATGCGGGAACGATCCTACAGTTGCAAATCACAATGGAATTCCGTCGACCGCACATGCACGAAAAACAGGTGACACCCCATTTACAATGCGGAACCGATCCGAGCATGATCCGAGCATGATCCGACCACACACGAGACCGTCTCGCAACCGTCGCACCGCAGAGGTAGATCATCGAGGTTCGGGGACGGACTTTGTATGGAAAAACATTGGGTTTCGTGCATCTGCTATCTCTCAAAAACGCATTTCGTGCGAGACTTCTTCCAAAACTCCATCGGCAACTCCTCCACCAGCACCACTTGCAATCCCATTTACAGTGAGGGAACGATCCTAGAG